GCCCTCCTCCAGCCTGGGAATTACTCTGCGAGGGTCCGGGCCACTTCCCTGGCAGGAAACGGCTCCTGGACCGGCTTGATGACCTTCTACATCCTCGGGGGAGGTGGGTGTCAGAGCCAACTGGCTTCTATAATAATAATGATAAAGTTGGAAGGGACCTTGGAGGTCATCTAGTCCAACCCCCTGCTCAGGCAGGAAACCCTACACCATTTCGGACAAATGGCTGTCCAGTCTCTTCTTAAAAACTTCCAGTGTTGGAGCATTCACCGCTTCTGGAGGCAGGTTGTTCCACTGGTTAATTGTTCTAACTGTCAGGAAGTTTCTCCTTAGTTCCAGGTTGCTTCTCTCCTGGATTAGTTTCCATCCTTTGCTTCTTGTCCTGCCTTCAGGCGCTTTGGAGAATAGCTTGACTCCCTCTTCTTTGTGGCAGCCCCTGAGATATTGGAACACGGCTATCATGTCCCCCCTCGTCCTTCTCTTCGTTAAACTAGACGTACCCAATTCCAGCAACCGTTCCTTATATATTTTAGCCTCCAGTCCCCTAATCATCTTTGTTCTTTTGTGCTTCACTTCGGTCGGTTGGGTTGCAATAATTCCCTTTCTCTCCCCTGACGACCCCCGCAAACCCCGGTTTCCAAGCAGAGGAAGAGGAATCTGGAAATTTCTACGTGTTCCTGACGCTCACCCCGGTGGTCCTGATGCTCGGCATCACCTGCCTGGCCGTCTTCGTTTTCTTATACAACAAGAAAAGGTAGTAGTAGCCCCTGCTCGCTTTGGGGAGCAGCTTGCCTGAGTTGAGGGGGGGCACGTTAAAAACGGTCGGGCTGGGTTAAAATCAGGGGCTGTTTTCTGTGTGCTGCTGTTGCTTTTCCGGGGGGGGAGGGCGGCGTAAGAGCTGAGTGCAAAAGCAGGGTTGGCCCCTGGAAAGCCTGCTGTTTTGGGGTGCTCCTTTCGATCAGCTGCTCTGCTGAGCAAGATCGGACAGCCGCCCTCCGGGGTGGGGTGGGTGCAGAAGCCCCTGAAAGAAAGCAAAGGATTTCCCCCCCCCTCCCCAGGCCCTGATCTTTTCTACCTGATCCTCACCTTGCAGGAGGACCGAAGGGTACCCCAGTGGCACGCTCTATGCCTCGGTCAACCCCGAATACTTCAGTGCCTCCAACAGTGAGTGCCCAGGAAGAAGCAGGGAGGGGAAGAGGGAGGGAGGGAGGGAGGGAGGGGAGGGGCAACTAGCAGGAGAGTTTTTGTCTTGGCAAGTGCTCCTGCCCTTCCCCCTTTCTCAGTGTATGTCCCGGATGAGTGGGAGGTACCCCGGGAACGGATCACCATCCTACGAGAGCTGGGCCAGGGATCCTTCGGGATGGTCTACGAGGGGATCGCCAAGGACCTGGAGCAGGCGGGCGAGGAGACCCGGGTGGCGCTGAAGACCGTCAACGAGCTGGCCTCCATGCGGGAGCGCATTGAGTTCCTGAACGAGGCCTCCGTCATGAAAGCCTTTCGCTGCCACCACGTGGTAAGGAGCAAAGGCCCAGGACATGGGGGGGGGGGTCCAGTTTCTTTCCTGCCAGAAAGAAAAAGGGAGGAGGCACCCCAAAAGTCTTGGTGAGGTCTGTGCGGGTGAAAGAAACCCAAATGAGCTCTCACTCCCCTGCCCACTTCTTGTGCACGCCAGCGTGTGGGGCAAAATCATTCCAAGGAAGGCGAAGACGCGTTCAACGCAGGCTTGGCTCTGGACTGGATCCCCTGAACTGTATGGAAAGGGACACGGGTCGCCTTTTCCAGGGAGCAGATTTAGTTTCCCAGACCAGAGATTTTTCTGGTGACTCCGCTATCCCGGCTTCAGCAGATCCAAGCCCAACAGCCTTTCCATGACCCAGAGATCGCTTTGGCATGGGGCCAGCTAAAGCTGAGCTTGGCGGGGCTCTTGACCTGCCCTCCAGATCCTGGGGGTGCAGCCTGCTCTCCTTTGCCTTTGGGGCCTCCAGGTTCGCCTCCTCGGGGTGGTGTCCCAAGGCCAGCCGGCTGTGGTCATCATGGAGCTGATGACGAGGGGAGATTTGAAGAGCTACCTGCGTTCCCTCCGCCCGGACGCCGAGGTGGGTTTCTCCCCCCACCCTCTCAGGCTCAGATTGCGGCCTTGGCTGGCTCCCCATGGAGACTCTCTGGAGCAAAGTGGAAAAACTCCTGAATGTTGGCAACGACTTCAAAGCGATGGGGAGGGCTGGAAAGCCGATCTCCATTGCCACACTTCCTTTTCCGAGTCTGGCTTCCATCAGCGGTGACTTGCCCACAACACAAAATCAGAGTTTGTTATGCTCTGGACCAGTGATGGCGAACCTTTTAGAGACCGAGTGCCCAAACTGCAACCCAAAACCTACTTATGCATCGTCGGGTGCCGGGTGGGTGTGGCCCATTGGGTGGGCGTGGCTGCGGTGGTAACAGCAGACTGGGTGGGACTAAAAAGTTCAATCAATCAATTCCAACTTTGCAAGATCTTTTTTTTTCCCACGAGAAGTTGAAATTGACTGATTGATTGAACCTTTTTTTTTTGTACATGGTGGCGGAGGCCTAAAGCGAAAAGTTTTTATAAAACCCAGCTGAAGGCCTAGGACTGGGGTGACGGTGCATGTGCCCACAGACAGGGCTCTGAGTGCCGCCTCTGGCACCCGTGCCATAGCTTCGCCACCACTGCTCTGGACACTCCCCAAGGCCCAACCGTCCCTGCCTCGTTTCGGTTCCCTGTTCTGACCACCTCGGTATGGTCTTCTTCCAGAATAACCCGGGGTTGCCTCCCCCGTCGCTGAAGGACATGATCCAAATGGCCGGAGAGATTGCCGATGGCATGGCCTACCTCAATGCCAAGAAGTTTGTCCACAGAGACCTGGCGGCCCGCAACTGCATGGTGTCCGAGGACTTCACTGTGAAGATTGGAGGTGGGGCTGAGGGGGGGGGCAGGTCCAGGGCAGGGAGAGGGGCTCCCCAGGGCAGCCGGGGTGGTGGTGGTGGCTTGGACAGGGCTGGGGGAAGCTTTGATCCTTGGCTTGCCAGCCCCCTCTCTCCACCTCTGCTCCTGAAGCCTGGTCCTCCTCCCCATGACGTCCTTCTTTTTTTGCAAAGATTTTGGGATGACCAGGGACATCTACGAGACAGACTATTACCGCAAGGGGGGGAAAGGCCTTCTGCCGGTCCGCTGGATGTCCCCCCAAGCCCTGAAGGATGGGCTCTTCAATACTCAGTCGGACATCTGGTGAGACCAGGGGAGCAGGAGAGGCGGCGGGTGGTGGTGGTGGTGGCAGCTTAAAGTCAGCACACCTTTACCCCAGGGGGTGGGGGGTATAAGTGGTCCCAGGGCATTTTGTAGCCCAAATGGCAGAGGGCACCCTTGACTGTGTGTGTGAGTCCCTGGGCAGGGCTGGCAGGGCAAAGTCCCTGCACCCAGAGAAGTGAAACCAGCTGGCAACGGTGGCCATGGCAGTCCAGGGCTGCCCCTTCTCATCCACCTCCGTTTCAGGTCCTTCGGTGTGGTGCTGTGGGAGATCGCCACCCTGGCAGAGCAGCCCTACCAGGGCATGTCCAACGAGCAGGTGCTCCATTTTGTGATGGACAACGGGGTCCTGGAGAGGCCCGAGAACTGTCCTGACAAGCTGTGAGTGGACTCCCCAGAAGCGTGGTTGTGGGTGGGCCTGTGGGCAACCTTTCCCCCCCCTTCCTGCCTGCTCCCAGACTTCTTCTTCTCCCCTCCCAGACACGACCTGATGACTTGGTGCTGGCAGCAGAACCCGCGTCTGCGCCCGTCTTTCGTCCAGATTCTGCAGAGCATCCAGGAGGACATGAGTGCCGGCTTCCGCACTCACGCCTTCTACCACAGCCTGGAGAACAAGCGCAGCAGCTCTGGGGGCGCTCTGGACCTTGAGACGGACAAGCTGCTGGAGGAGGAGGAGGAGGAAGAGGAGGAGAAGGAGGAGGAGGAGGAGGAGGAGGAGCCCAAGCCAGCGACCCCAACCCTGGGCTCCCGTGGCAGCAGCCCCCAGCCCCTCTTCGGCTCTGGCCAGCCCAAGGACTGTTGCCCTCCCAACAGGAAGAAGCCACCCCTCTGAGGCTGGGCCAGCTTGGCAGCGAGGAGGGTGAGATGCCCTCCCGGTCAGGAGGGGGCCGTGTCCTCGGTGGCTGGCCCAGTGGCGAAGGACCCCACAAACGCCAGGGGCCGGGGGAGACTTTTAAGAGGCTCTGTCCCTCTTTGTTTGAAAGACAGACGCCAGGACGCGTCTGACTGGCAGCTGGGCATGAAATCATTGGCCTGGATGTGGGCAACGTATCTCAGGAGTCTCAGCCAGCCGGGCTGTCTCTCTACTTCACTCACCAGGTTGCCAGGTTTGGGGGGGGCTGTTTTCAGAAGCAAGGCAGAGAATACCGACACCCCAAAGTTTTTTATTCAGCTGTTCAAGGGACCCCAAAGAGCAGAAGCGTCCTTGGTGACTTCCCACCTCCAGATGCTCTCTGTGGCCAGACAAGTGGCAGGGACCCCTCCTGGCTTCACTCTGCCCCCAGGCTGAGGGGTGCTGGGGGGGCAGCCCAGTCGTCACATCTCTGGGTCCCCTTTTGCTGAATGCAAATGTCTGGAAGGGTCTTGGAGGAAAGTTCCCAAACCAGATCCGGCCCCGTCTCCTTTTCCAGATGGAAGCTGCAGGTCTCTCCCTGGGAGGGGGGGGAGGTCTTCCTGCGATACCCCACCCTGATTCCCCGCTCTGCTGCTGGTAGCTTTTCCTGGAGGGACAAATGCTTCCTCTGGGCGGCGAGGGGAGGGGGAGGACGGAGGCCCCTCTTTGAAGCCCCCCCAAACACCTGATACCTGCCCAGGTCTCGTCCGCTGTCTCCCTCCATGGAGGCTCTTCCCCCCCCCCGATTCCATTGTTCATCTTGGCCAAAACGGTCAGGAGCCTCCAATGGCCGGTCATCCTGGTCCTCAGTCCTTCCCATGAGGCAGGGACGAGCAGGCAGAACCCTCACCGGGCTTGTCTTCGGAGTGGAGGGGATGGCGGGTAGTGCCGGATGGGGGGCACATCATAGTGGCTGGGGATGTGGCTGTTCTTGGGAGAATCGTAGTGGCTGGGGGGCACGGCTGCCGTCGCCTGCAGGACGGCTAAAAGGGGGGAGAGGAGAGGAAAAGAGAGGATGAGGGGAAAGGAAAGACGAAGCCACAAACCGGCCCCTCCTTCCACCGTCCGGCACTTCCTGACTCCACCCTTAAGACCCATAATTCATACCAACCCATAAGACAAAGTTTCCCAAGCCTCCCCTCTCACCCTGAGGAATAGCAGGTTATGCCCACCCCCAAATCCCTTTGTGGCTCAGGGCGGCTTGTCTGGGTGAAGAAACGGATACAGACATGCCACAATCCAGGGGATCCTGGCACGGAAGAGAATTCCTGGGTGCAACAGAGCTTTTTTTTCATCCTGATGACCCCTGAATGGTGCAGGTAGGCAGGGAAGGAGATCTGCAGTTCTGCAAGGCTGCCACATTCTCCCCAAATGGACACCTTTTTACAGTAGCGAATTCCGGTTCTTAGGGCTGAATTGCCGTAAAAAGGTTGGGCTTTCTCTCACGGCCTCCGCGTCATGTCTGGGACCCCTGAGAAAGATTTTCCCCCTCCCCAAACCGCCCCTCCCTCCCAGACTTCACCCTCCCTCTCATCCAGCAAGATTTCTCTTTAAATGGAGGGGTCGTCCCCAAACAACGGCAGGTTTTTTATTTTTATGATGATGATTATTATTATTTTAAGCTGATCATCGTTAGCGTATCTTCTTGTATTGTAATCTTAGGGGGTTGGGGGACTGAGCGGGTTTTAATGTTTTGGAAAGGCAGCAGGACCCAGAAGGGCAATAAATGAAACTCCACCCTCCAGCTTTTCGCTTCTAGGTGTGTGAACGCCCCTCCCGGAGCCAGAAACGGCCCCAAAGTGAGTGGGGGGCACCTGGCCTTCATCCTCACCTGCACCTTCCTCTTCCTTGGTCTCAGAGCTGCAGGAGGGGTCTTCGAAGAGGCTGATCTCTGCGTAGGATTTCTCCCGCTTGGAGGAAGGGGGGGACTTCATCTCCATGTAGCTGCCCTCGGGCGCCTTCCCGGCAGGGCCGGGACAGTCCTTGATGGTGGCATAGGGGTTCTCGCTGCTGAGGGAGCTGTCGCTGCGGCCCCAGGGCGCCTCCTTGGTGTGCACTAGGAAGGAAAGAGGGCACAGGTCGACCCTGGTGTTTGCTGTGCCCTGCAAGCGCAGCCAGGTGTCCTGAAGGCTCAGCCCAACTTCTCTGGGGTTGGGAAACAACGGGGACAACGCTGGAGGACCATCCTGGCTTGTTTCGGTGGACCAATGAGGTCCCCAAGCAACCTCACGTTCTCCAACAAAGCAGGGCCAAGGCACGCAACCAGCTGCCATATTTGACCATCTAGCACAGGGGTTCTCAACCTTGGCAACTTTAAGACTTGTGGACTTCAACTCCCAGAATTCCTCAGCCAGCAAAGCTGGCTGAGGAATTCTGGGAGTTGAAGTTCACAAGTCTTAAAGTTGCCAAGGTTGAGAACCCCTGATCTAGCAGCTCTTCTCTACCAAGTCCTAGAAAGTCCTCCTTCTTGACCCGTTACCTTGGCAGCGGTATTTTCCCAGGCCATCCGTGTAGCTGCAGCTGCGGTCTAAGTAGCCTCCCCCTGCAGAAGAGGCAGTTGTCCAGTTAAGTGGGATTTGAGGGGGGGGGGTTGATGTGCAAAAGGGGGAGGCGGTGGGATGCTTAAGGGGGCAACCCAGTGTGGCCCTTTCCTCTCCCTGCTCAAACCTGACCCCCCTTCAGAGGAGGACCTGCAGGTACTCACCGTGGGCAGGGCTCCCCCGGCGGTGCCTCCAGTCGCTGGGCAGGGTGGCGTTGCAGTCGGCCACCTGCAGTCCTGCCCAGTCCCGCTCCAGATTCTGCAGGTTGGAGAAAAACAGGGCTCTGGATGGCTGGTCATAAAAATGGGGGGGGGGAGCAGGCAAAGCCTCTGAACCAGACAGCCCCATTGCAAGGGGGAAAGGGGCAACTAATTCCGAGAAAATCAGGATATCCGGTTATAAACTGAGGAATGTCAACTGAAGGGGGGGGGGAAACTTTAATGCTTGGAAGTTTTGAATACCTGCCCATCCAAACCCGCCTCTTTGTGCCTCTGGAGCAGTGATGGCGAACCTTTTAGAGACCGAACTGTGCCCAAACTGCAACCCAAAACCCACTTATGCATCGTCGGGTGTCAGGTGGGTGTGGCCCGTTGGGTGGGTGTGGTCCATTGGGTGGGCGTGGCTGCGGTGGTAGCAGCAGACTGGGTGGGTGGGACTAAAAAGTTCAATCAATCAATTCCAACTTTGCAAGATCTTTTTTTTTCCTGCGAGAAGTTGAAATTGATTGATTGATTGAACCTTTTTTTTTTTTTTTTGCATACGGCGGCGGAGGCCTAAAGCGAAAAGGTTTTATAAAATCCAGCTGAAGGCCTAGGACTGGGGCGACGGCGTGCATGCCCACAGAGAGGGCTCTGAGTGCTGTCTCTGGCACCCGTGCCATAGGTTCGCCACCACTGCTCTAGAGAGACCCCATTATCGACCAGGGTGGGGTGTTTTCTGAAGGGGAGAAAAGGGTCCTGGGGGGGGGTTGGGGTGGAGCAGGGGATGCTCACCTTGCCCGGCAGATCGGAGCTGCTTGGGATGGCGAAGCTGGGGGAGCAGGGCGAGAGGGTGTGGTAGCTGGGGTTCGAATAATAATGGGTGTAATTGGGCGACACATCTGGAAAGAAGAACCGTTAGTTCAAGTTAGCATGCTTGGGAACGTCCTGTGAGTTGCATTTGTGTCAGAAAAGTGCAGGCAACCCTGGCACAGAGGCTGGCACACCCTGGTCGCCCCTCCAAGGGGTGCTGCCCCCCTCCTCTTTTAACTTGCCCCCAAACATCCTCCTGCCTCCAGCCCCAGCTCACCAGGGACGACGTATTCCGAACTGTCCGTCCTCCCTGTGGTGTAGGCCACGGAGACGTGCCGCTTCTCCTTCTCCTTCTGACACCGCCGGTAGCAGAAGAAAACCACCAGAACTGCCGCCAGCAAAGCGGCCAGGATGATGATGCCAATCACCGCCCCCAAGGAGTGGTTGGCGGCTGGTGAGGCGGGAACCACGGTGAGGGGGTGATCGGGGTGGCCTGTGAATCGTTTAATTGAGGAACAGAAGAATTCAGACACAGCTTTCCTGAGGAGCTGAGGTCAGCCCCGCCTGCCCAGGGACCCTGTCCTGCCACACCTTGCCCTCTGGGTCAGGGGTCTCCAACCTTGGCAGGTTTAAGACTTGTGCACTTTAACGCCCAGAATCCAGGAATTCTGGAAGCTGAAGTCTACATGTCTTAAACTTGCTAAGTTTGGAGACCCCTGCTCTGGGTGGTCAAAGCTCCCGGAATTTAATTTCTGCTGCAGAGGGGTCCCGGGCACCTCCCCTGGCAGACCCTCTCCTTCTCTTTGAGGATGAAGAGTCCCTGCCAATCACACCTCCAGGAAGAGACGGGAAAGAAAGAAGGAAGGAAGGAAGGAAGGAAGGAAGGAAGGAAGGAAGGAAGAAAGAAAGAAAGAAAGAAAAAGAAAGAAAAAGAAAGAAAGAAAGAAAGAAAGAAAGAAGAAGAAAGAAAGAAAGAAAGAGAAAGAATAATAAGAATAAGAATAAGAATAAGAATAATAAAGTTGGAAGGGACCTTGGAGGTCATCGAGTCCAACCCCCTGCTCAGGCAGGAACCCTACACCATTTCAGACAAATGGCTGTCCAGTCTCTTCTTAAAAACTTCCAGTGTTGGAGCATTCACCGCTTCTGGAGGCAGGTGGTTCCGCTGGTTAATTGTTCTCACTGTCAGGAAGTTTCTCCTTAGTTCCAGGTTGCTTCTCTCCTTGATTAGTTTCCATCTATTTTGCTTCTTGTCCTGCCTTCAGGCGCTTTGGAGAATAGCTTGACTCCCTCTTCTTTGTGGCAGCCCCTGAGATACTGGAACGCTGCTACCCTGTCCCCCCTCATCCTTCTCTTCATTAAACTAGACATCCCCAATTCCAGCAACCGTTCCTTATATGTTTTAGAAGAAAGGAAGGAAGAAAAAAGGAAAGAAAAGAAAGAAAGGAAAGAAAGGAAGGAAGAAAGAAAGAAAGAGAAAGAAGAAAGAAAGAAAGTAAGAAAGAAAGAAAGAAAGAAAAAGAAAGAAAGAAAGAAAAAGAAAGAAAGAAAAAGAAAGAAGGGCACCCTAATTCTTGGTTATTTTCACTTTGTTCACTCCTGGGCCTCGGAGCCCAGGGCCTCAAAGAGGAGTCTGGCAGGTGCAGGTTGTCGCACTTACTGGTCTCACAGTGGGCACCGGTGTAGCCTGTGGGGCACGAGCAGGACCCTGTGCCTGGGTCACAGAAGCCCCCGTGCTGGCATGGGCACCGGGAGGTGCAGTTGTTGCCGAAGAAGCCGGAAGTGCACCCTTCAAAGAGATCGGATGGTTTGCACTCATGGATTGCACCAACCCAGAAGATGGCATTCAGGGGGCGAGGTGGGGGACCCCCCCCAGAGGAGACTCACATGGCACAATCCCAGCCAGGGGGCCCAGCGGGTGTCAGACCCATTCCTGGGCTCCCTCCCCCCACGCTGGAAGAGGGGCATCGTGGGATTTCTTGAGCTTGGCTTTGTGCCTGTCTGACTCACGTCTTGCGCAATCGCTGCCCGTCCAGCCCGGCGGGCAGTCACAAGAGCCGTCCACAGGGTGGCAGATGGAGTGATTGGCACACTTGCAGGGCACAGAGCACTTCTTGCCATAACGGCCTGACTGGCAGGCTGCATTTGGGGCAGGGGGCGGGGAGGAGGGGAAGGGGAGTGAGGTCAGTCCGCGGGCAGGGATGGCGTGGCTCCGAGGAAGGGAGAGACCAGCCTGAATCCCCTTGTCGCCCTTAGCAGTAGACTGGCACTCGAGAGGCTTTTTGGCAGAGAGATGGGCACTGCAGTTGGCAAGCGGGCTGTTTTTTCTCTCCCTCCCTCCCTGCCCCCTCCCCAGCCCTTGAAACAGAGGCCCAGGGTCCCCAGAGGGGGAGGGGGGGTTCTGCTGCCCCAGAGAAGGCCGGTTCACTTACACCGCTGGCAGTTGGGCCCCCGGAAGCCCGGGGTGCATTCGCAGAGGCCATCCTTGGGGGAACAGCTGGCCCCATTCTTGCAGGAGCACAGCTGGCGACACTGCTCCCCCCACAGGCCCTCTGCACATGGCTGGCTGCAACGAGGTCCTGGGGAGAAAGAGAGGGTCCCAGGGCAGTTCGTGCCCCACATCAGTGGGGCTGCAGAGGCTCCGGTTCAGAAGAGACGCGTCAGAAGGATCTGAACTGGCCTGCGCCAGCTCTGCCGGCCCATCCTTCAGCAGCAAGTGGGGCAGAAGCCCCCAAGGTCTGCCCCCAACCCACCCAGCCTCCTCCTCACCTTTCCATCCAGGCAGGCAGCGGCATCGTCCGGAGACGGGCTCACAGCCAGCAGCATTTTCACAGAAACACTTCCGGGCGCAGCCCAGGCCGTAGAACCAATCCTGATCAAGAACGAGGGTGAGAGAAGGAAGAGCCACGGTTGGCCGGCAGCCAGCCCCCCACCCCCGATTGCTACCAGTGGACTGATTGCTATCGGTGGTTTAGGCTCTCCTGCTTAGCAGGGGGTTGGGCTAGAAGACCTCCAAGGTGCCTTCCAACTCCTGACTTCGCCACTCAAGACCTGGTCACGGCCACCACCAAGGACGTCTTCTCCAGGAATGCTGCCCTTGGGGGCAACCCAGAGGCAGATCCTTCGGGGAGAGTCAGTCCAAGACCCAGCCTCTCACCGGGCATGGCTGCCTGCAGTGGCTGCCTTGCCACCCAGCCACGCAGGTGCATCCTCCGTCGATGGGATCACAGGTCGCTCCGTTGGCACAGAGGCAGGTTTGGTTGCAACCGGCACCCCAGGTGCCTGCAGAGCAGGGGGCAGAACAGTCTGCTCCCTGCCAGCCTGGAAGGAGGAGAAGAAACAGAGGGTGGGGTGGAGATTCACAGCAGGCCTTGCGTTTCATCTCCTTCCCGTTTCGTTCTTCCCCAGAATGACGGTCCACCTTCCCAGGTAGATGACACAGGGACACAACCAGGTGATCCAGCTCTACCTTGTTGTAAAGCTCCAGTAACAGCCTGCATTTTGCAAGTCTGAGAGTGCAATTCTCCCTAGGAACTAGGGTCCCTCTTTGCCCGTTAGGCAACTGGGGCTCAGCCATCTTTTATCTGACTCTTCCTCAAGCAGCATCTCTTCGCCTGCCTCCCGAAGTCTTACCCACACGCCACCCCAGCGATGTCGTACCTTCCTTGCAGAAACAGGTCCCGTCCACTGGAGAACAGCCCAAGGCGTTTTGGCAGCTGCACTCCTGAGAGCAGTTCACCCCAAAAGTGTCCTCCGGGCAGGGGCTGGAGCAATGCTTGTCCTGCCCAAGGTAAAAGCAGTCAGGGGGTCCAAGCTGAGCCCCAGAAAATTCCCCCCCTCCAGCCTCCAAGAGGTACTCACTGTATAGCCAGGTGGGCAGCTGCAGTGCCCTGTCTCGCCATCACAAGTGCCCCCATTCAGGCACAGGCAGGGATCCTGGCACCTGAGGCCGTGGGATCCACGAGGACACGTCTCGTTGCAGTAGAGGCCGGCCCATCCTGCCTTGCAGGAGCATTCGCCAGAGATGGGGTGGCAACTGTAGGGATAAACAGAGAAGTGATGCCCCTCCAGTGGGCTTATCCCAAGGAACCTGATTTCCCTACTGGGACCGCTCCGATCTATCCCATCCACCCGGTGTGGGGAAGGCAGGCAGAGTCGGTGCCTCAAGGAAACAAGGACACCTCCAGACTGACCTCTGTGTGTGCTGAGGATTGCAGAGACAAGGAAACTGACAGCTGAGGCCATACAGCCCAGGAAGACATTTGCGCTCCTCACAGCGACTGCCGTAGAATCCGGCTTCACACAAGCAGCCCCCGCTGATGTGAAAGCAGTGGCCCCCGTTGGTGCAGTCACAGGTCTCGTGGCAGTCCTGCCCATATTTGCCGATGGGACACTTTTCGCGGCATCTTGGGGAGAGAAGGAGCAGGAGGGTGAAGAATGGAAAACAGGCACAACATCTGCCAGTTGGTCAACCGCTGGCCTAGAAAGCAGTCCCAGAACATGGATTCACCAAAATCAACACAACCCATAAAACGTGGTGTGTGTGTGGGGGTGGTGGTAAGGAACGTCTGTCACAGGCCCACCACCACCACTGCAAGAGGGATCCTCTTGACCGTGATCACGCCAAGCCCAAGGAACAAAAGAACGACATGTGGAATCACTTCTGAGTCGTTCTTTATAGCTGTTCACTTACAGACAGAATCTTGCCAGACTAAAGTAACTATCCGCTTAGCTATAGAGATACTCTGTGAATCCTAGGGAGGGCCCACCTTCGCCCTCTTCCTGCCTACCAGAGATTCCAAACTCTGCCCTCTCTTTGCCCTTTGGGAAGCAGCCCCTCCCTCCCGCGACTCTGGACTACATTCCACCACAGATCTGCAGGGAATTCTCTCCAGGACGGGCTTGGCCTGGTGTGGCTGCCAACAGCATTGCACAACCTTTACAAGAGCCGTAAGTGCTCCTCACCCCCCCCCAAGCTCTTCCACATCGTTCTCAGACTTGGAGAAGTGGCTGCTTCCATCTTCCCCAGAAGCGTCTCCCTCTGGGTCTTCCCCATTGTTCGCAATTCCTGGACAGCAATGACAGCGTTTCCTTCCTCTTACGGTTTAGGGGGAAACACAAACTCGTTCGCTAACCGCAGCCAACCTAATTGGCAATGGGCTTCCTCCGTGAATGTTGACCGGGTTTACAAAGGGCTGCTTTTAGCCGAGACGGGGCGACTGGCTTTGACAGATGGGCGTGACACTCCCGGGGCAAAAGAGAGCAGCGGGGATACTCACTCCTCTCCCAGGTAGCCCAGGGCACACTGGCACTGGCCCGAATCAGGATCACACTGGCCTCCGTTGTGGCAGCGGCATTCTTCCTGGCAGCTGGAGCCAAAGCGCCCAATGGGGCACCGGGTGGAGCAGATGTCACCCTGGGGGGGGGGGAAAGAGGTCAGAAACTGCCTGGAGGGAGGTTCAACCAACAATGTGTGTCAAATGGCAGGGAGATTTTAAATAGGAAGCTGGAATCGATCCAAAAGAATTGGGTTTTTTTCAGCCCCTCTGCAAGGGTTTGCAGAAGGCTTCTGGTTCAGAGGTTAGAGGTTGGGGGTCCACCTCCCTGTCCCTGCCCACCCAGCCACCTACCGTCCATCCAGGAGGGCAGGCACATTTGCTGGAGAAGGGGGGATGGCAGACGCCCCCATTCTGGCAGGGGCAGTAGGCTGGACACTGGAACCCATGGGTGCTGTTGGAGCAGGGGGTCTCGCAGCTGGAAGAGAGAGGGAGGGGAGGGGCACCCATTTGTATCAAGGTGATTGTGATCCACTTTGGGAGGAAATGAACCTCTCAGAGACCTATTCTGGGTCCAAGCCTGCTGTGCTGTCCATTAGGGTCAATCAGAACAGCCTCGTCTAGACCCCCCCCCAAAAAAAAGTTTTACACACCCCCCCAGCTGGTGCAAAACTTAAGTTTGTCTAGAGGGGAGCCCTGAAGTACATTACACCTTCTAGTCCAACCTAGGTTTATTCCAAGGAGGGCAGTTAGTCGCTCTCCTGCAATTCCTGGTGCTGAAAAACTCAGCAGTGACGTTGGTCCGATGCCCCCATGTCTCTGGTGCTGCCAGCCCCTTGCTCTGCCTTCCCAGAATGCCCCAGCCCAGCATTTCTGCCCTGTCTTCCCCGACACTCACTGTGGCCCTGTGTAGCCGGGAGAGCAGAGACAGGCGCCAGTCACGTGGCTGCAGCCCGCTCCGTTCTGGCAGTGGCAGTCCAGCTGGCATCCTTGGCCGTAGGTCCCTGTGGCACACGTCTCTTGGCACTCCTGCCCACGGTAGCCAGGGGGACAAGCGCAGGCCCCAGTCAGGGGGTCACAGCTGCCTCCGTTCGAGCACGTGCAGAGGCTTTGGCAGTTGGGCCCCCAGGATCGGTCACTGCACTCTGGAAGCAGAAAGAGAGGCTATGCAGTCCTGCAGGTGGTCTGGGGCCTTGATCCAACCTGCTTCTAGGATCATCAGCTCTTGAGAAGGCTGGATGGCTCTGGAGCCCCTCGCCCCAAGTCTAGTGCCCTGAATGAGCAGGTCTAGACAAGGGGGAGGCCTGGCCACTCTCTGCCCAAAGGCTGCTCTAATTCCTGATGCTCTTTGTGGAGCAGCCCCTCTGCCCTCTGACCCCCCCCCACGCCCCAGGTCTTTTTTTTTGAGCTCTGGGCCCTGAGGACTGGCTCAAGGGGGTGGCTCACCACTGGAGCAGTCTGCGCCCCTCCAGCCTTGCTCACACTGGCACTGGTCTGGAGCCACACACCGGCCGTGCACGCACTCCTGGGCACACCGAGCTGCAGCCGAGAGGGAAGAAAGAGGGCATCACCCGCCAGTCCCTCCCCGACTGTGTGACGACCTGCAGAACTGCTTCCCCCAGCTCTGCAGGGGCTAAGCAGAGAATTAAAGGCTCACGCCCCTTCTCAGCTCAACGCCAGGGACAAGAAATCCAGGTCACTTGCTCAACAGAAGTGCAGAAATAGCGTGCTGTTGGCTGCTTCCCGGATCTTTTGATATTTCCCAGTCTACTCTCTGGCCCTGGGATCTCCTGGTGGTCTCCGATCCCATCCCTTTCCAGGCCTGGCCGTGCTTTGCTTCCTGTGTACAGACCGTCTTCCCTTCTGCAGGGGCCCAACAGAGGGGAGTCGCTGGGGGCGGGGGAGAAGGGCTTACGGACACAGATGTCGTTGCTCTCGTAGAAGCCCTCGCAGCAGTGATGGCGTCTCCGGTAGTCTACTTTGACGCCTTGCCGGTAGGCTGTCTTGTACAGGACTCTGAAAGCGCCGAGAGAAAAGGCCGCTGGGCACTGGGAGAGACTGGAGCTCTGTGCCACAGCCCAGCCAAGGGGGGGGGTAAATTCAGGTGGGGGTGGTCCTGCTCACCTGTACTGAGGACAGGTCTTTGCCCGTAGCCACGCCGGGCTCTTGCAGGGCTCCTTGGACTCCTGGACAAAGGGCTGCACGAAGGACTCCTTGGAGACGGTGGTGAAACTGGGGGGGGGGAAACAACAGCACCTTGGATGTGGGGGGCATTTGGCACTGCTCACCCACCGCTCAAATGCAGGGGGCTGACATGTCCGATGAGGGGAGAAATGGGGAAAGGAGGGGATACCCTGAGTCAACCCCCCCTTTGCATTCTAAGGGGGTCTCACCTTTCCCAGTAGCTGCAGACATTGGGGTCGTTGGAGCTGAGCAAGAGGGCCCGATCCAGCTGCAGCCACAGCACCAGCAGGGAGTAACGGTAAGCCATCATCCTAAGAGGAGGGAACACAAAGGGGCTTATGGTGACCGCAAAGACACTTGAAGTGATTGAAGTGAAGATGTCCACCCTCATGGTGTCTTTCCAGCATGATGTCCATAAACACAGGAACGCCTGTGTGAAAACAGGAAGCCCTGCAGAGCAGGGTCTTTCTAGCATCCAGGCTGGACAAACATGAGGACCCCAAAGGGTCCTGTCCTTGGAACTCTCCCCCCCTCTGTGGAACAGGACAGGGTGTCTCCAAGCAGGGTTGGTGTTGGAACGGAGCTATCAAACAAGCATGGATGAGCAGAGAAGGATGGGGATGTGGTTCCCTGAAGATGCTGAAGTAGAAAACCTGAGCTGTGGCAGGCAGTGTCAATAGAAAATCAGATTTTCCTTCTTTTTTCCCCCCTGTTCCTTCAGTTCCAAGGTCCCAGTTCAGAGACACCGAGAAGATTTCAGTTCCAAACAAAAGCTGGAAGACCATAGTGGCTCTGGAAGGCAGCCACTGTGATTTTAAGTTTGAAGCCCTCCCCCCCACCACCCTTTTCACAGACTTAATCTGCCACAAAGTTTCTGCAACTCTGGAATCTTTTTCCTAAGCCCAGGCTTGACCGTTGACCCCAGTCGCTTTCTCACGGCTTGCGGCAGCCGGCAGTTTTCCACATAGGAAAACTCTGCTCAACTTGAATGGCGCCAGACAAGCTCCTGTTACCAAGCCTTGCTTCCCACTGCTGGCAGTGAAAGAGTTAAGCCTCCTCCACTCTCTGGACGTGCTCCCCCATCCATCCCCACCCCCCCACCCTACCCCTCTGGCAACAGAGCAGAGCAGCATCCATCCAATTCCCTTCGTCCCCTTTGCTGAGGCAGCAAAGTTTTGCAACCCCTTCCTGGCTGTTCCCAGGTCCCTCCTCCTGCCGTGGGCTGGGTCTCCCGGGGGCTCCAATATTTGCACCCAAATGTCAGAAGACGCATCCCTGCCCATGAGCTGGGAGGTTTCATGAAAATGCAGCCGGACACAGGTGAAAGTTGAGGGATCCCCTGGCACAGGACGCCCAACAAAAGTCAAATCCCGCCATCCGTGGAGACCACCACCAGACCCCAACAAGTCTCCGCCAAGGAAAGCCAAAAAGGGCTAGTTTGCTTGGCCTTCCTGCACGCACGTCCAGTCCAGAGACCACCCGTGTCTCCGGGAACATGAAGAGGAGGAGAAGCAGAAGCCTCTCCCCCTCCCCATTCCTCGCAAAGCTGGAAACAAGAGTCCCTGGGGAGGGGCGGGCTGCTTGGATAGAAACCGAAGACAGGCGGGGCCGTTTGGAGGCTTTCTCGGAGTCTTGGGGAGCCTGGGGGGATGGGGTGCCATGCACGCAGCCCACGCATGTCTTTGCAAGCGGGACTAGACTGGAGGGCCCTTCTCAAAAGGCATTCTGGGGCTGCCCCCTCCCCAGATCCAGCCCATCTGAGGACCAGGAAGGAATTCAGTTCTATCTCTTCTAGCAAGGGTGTCACTTTCACAGCTGGAGCCACGCAAAGCTCGGCAAAGGCCCACAGCTCCACGTTGCCAGGAACCAGCCTCACCAGTCCCCCCTTTGCCGCCCTACCAGTCCCCCATTACAGATGCTCTGCCTGGATGGGGCTCATCTGGATGGCCTCAGCTCCAAAGGCCGCCCTCCTCCAATGGAACTCAATGAAGCACACACACACACACACACACACTCTGCTGATCTGCCTGGCTGCAAACAGGAAGCCTCCCTGATGCTCTGCAGATGGAGAGTGTGGGAAATGGAGCTGATCTCTCCTTGGCAAGACGGTCCCGTCCCTGCAGCGCCCCTCCATGTGTGGGGCAGGCAGAAAGGAGGAGAAGCCAGCCCGCCTCCCCTCGCGAAGGAGGCCGGCCCCTGGGGGTGGTGGTGCAGGGCTGACTGCAACAGGCGAAGCAGGATTGGGACGTGGCTTGCACCGGATGGGGGACCGCCAGGTGATCTTTGGGCTGCAGGGTAGAGTAGGAGGCTGAAAAACAGTCTGCAAGAAGATACAGAGGAAAATAAAGGCTTGCTACAACAGGCTGAATATAGTAATACTGAGGGTATATAGCTTCTTCGCCTGTCACCTGGGTGTGATTGCACAGAGGTTCGTGTGAATGTCCCAGACCACCTTCTGCTCTCACCACTGCTCTTTATCACCATTTCTGCAGGCAGGATAAACTGCGGAAATGCGGTATGGGACAACCCCCCCCCCCAGTTTCACTTTCTTCAAGCAAGGAAGAAGTGGGGGGGGGGGCTGAACCGTTAATGGCTGGGATTTCAAAAGAGAGAGAAGGGGAACAGGGGGCTCCCCCCCCATACAAGATACACAGGATGGGGAGCATCAACCCGCAGCTGGGAAGCTTGGCTGTGAGGCCTGCGCTGAGCTCTTGCATGGCCGGTGGGGGGGCTGCGGGGGTGGGGGGGAGTGGCAGGAGCAAAGCTGGTTCGAATTAAAGCTGCAGCCCGGAGCATCCCTGCGTGGGAAGTGGGGAAGCCAGGACGGATTTGATTGCAGGAGAGATTTCTCTCGGAAGACGAGGGGATGTCTTGGGGGCTGCAAGGTCCAGTCTGGGCTCCCCTCCTCCCTGTCCCATCATGGGTGGGGGCTGTTTGTCCAGAGGGGGGTGGGTGGGCTTGCAGTCCCTGATCTCTCCAGAGTCTCGAGGCCTTCGGAAACAAGACACAAGTGGACCCACAAAGAGCAGGAATGGCACGGGGAAGGGAGGGCACTCTGCAGCCGACTCACAATCAGCGCCTCTGCAGATTCAGCCCCGGCAGAGACGGGATTCGGTCACCTGGGAGCTGTTTGCCGAAAGGAGGCAGGCGGGGGTCTTCTCTGTCCCTCAGAACTCCGGTCCTGGGTTCAAGACCCAGAGAAGAGCACGGAGGACGGTGTTTCCCGAAGCTTTCCCGGCCTGGGCCTGTCCCCATGACTTCATCGCAGGAAAACGCCGCGTCCAGCCGGAGCAGGAGAGGAAACAGGCAAGAAATGGGCAGGAAAAGGGTGTTTGCCAAGCACACGAAGAGCAGGCGTGGCGGGAGAGGCAGGCGGGCACGACCTCTGAGGTGCCTCAGTGCACAGCCTGGCATGGGCACCCCAGAGGGTCACCAGACGAGTCCCCATCCCCAAAACAACGGCTCTGCCACCCATTCAAAAATGGCCCCTTCTCCCCAAACGCCACGGCGGTTCTGCCAGCCCCTGTTCTGAAGACAGGAGAGGTGAGCTGCTGCCTCCTTGCCCATCCCTCCCGGCTTTCCCTCTTTCCTGCCCCACAGATAGGAAGCTCCTGTTTACACCCCCAAAGCCTCATCGGACTCCCGTCCTGCTTCCTGTTTATCCGAAAGAAGCAAGGAGGGACGTCAGCCAAAGGTGGCCGGGCGAGGCTGGAAAGGCACGCTGGACCTCGGCTCGCCAAGGGTCACTCTGGGCTCCGCTGCCCACAGCATGCCTGCAGTGGGGAGGGGGGGAGGCCCAACCCAGAAATGGGTGGGTAAGGGGGAGCAGATTGAGAAGAGGGGCAGACCTTTATCCTGGCACCCCCTTTCAGTCAGATAATGTTGCTCCTTCCCAGTCTAACCAAGAACTCCTAACCCAGTTTAACTCTCCTTAACTTCTCGGCCGAAATAACCCCAAACAACACCCCCTTCTTCCCTCCTGCTCTTTGCAGCCCCCACCCCGAAGGGATCCACAGGGAGAACAGGTCCCTCTCCCCAGGCTGATTTCGGTTTGATCGCCAGAGGGGCTCCGCGGGGCTTTTCCACTGGCCTGTGGTTTCCTAAGAGTCCTGCTGCCCAGAGATAGCCGTCTCTGGTGACGTTGGCGGGCATTTTTAGGTGGCACGTCAAACTAACGTCAAACTAAGTTCACTACAAATGTGAAGCTTCATCTAGGAAACAGCTGTATTTGCAGCGGATGAGTAACGGACGCTGGAGGGAATTGAACCCAGGACTTCCTCCGCCCCACCCAGCGCAGTTGGGGACTAAAGCTATTTGCTAGGGCTGGGGGCAGAAGGCAAAGTCTTAGAGGATTCGGGGGGGGCGCAGACCCAGAGGTGCCAGCGCGTTGTTGAAGCCCCCATCAGCCTCTCTGTCCCTCCCTTTTCACACACACACACAGGGAGGCCCTTTCACACGTACAACATTGTCACCCACTCTGGCTTCAGCTCTTTGACAGACTCATGCTGCTCCAGGAGACCCCAAGTGGGCAGGGGTCCAAGGGAGGCTTCGGGCGGGCCACATCCCGACCGAAAGAGCGCCAACATCTTTGGGGGAAAGGCACACCATCCCAGAAAAAAAGGGACATTATTCTACCCCACATGCCAGCAGTTCCAGCTCTGTCTGCCTTGGGGAGGACAGTCTCCTGGGGTTGGCCAAAGCAAGAGCAGTCCGGCCAGACGCCCCTTTCCAAGCTCTGCTCCGATTGGCAGCTCTGTGCCTGGGCATCCTTGCAAGCAAGCCAAGTATTAGGGTCTCCATGTTCACCCCCCAACTCTTACCTCCGGGAGCTTCTGGTGTGGGTCCACCAAGGGACTCTGGGGGTGCCGGCAGTGGGCTGCTCGTTCTCACGGCTCCTCAGCCAGGAGCCTCTCCTGTCCAACAAGTGGCCAGACTTGGTCCCAGCCGGGGAGGATGGCCGAGAGGGGCATTCCGGGCCCTTCAGGGTCTGCCTCCCTCCTTCAGGATCTTCCCAGGCTGAGTCGGGTGGCCGAGCGCAAGAGAAGTGTGAACATGCAATGGGAGAGGAGCAGGGGGGGGGACACGGAGGCAGGAAGGGGCTGGGTTCATCTGGCGCCCTCAGGAAGCTTTGACGAGGAAGCTGAATGGAGAGAAACAGCAACAACACCAAAAAAATAGTAATTTTTTTTTTTTTTGGCAAGAAAGCCGATCACTTGGAACATGCAAGCTATATCCTGAGAACTTTGTCTGAAAGAGGAGATTCCCACCCACCTCTGCCCAGCAGTCGGAGCACAAGATCTGGGGTGGCCCAGGGAACTCGGGTGTGTGTGTGTGTGTGTGTGTACGGCACCCCTCCCCCATCCTGCAGTGGTGGACGGTGGAGACGCTGGACATCAGGGACGCCCATCCAGTCTCGAAGGTAGGACTGGGCAGAAACTGGCTTTGACCCAACAAGACTGCCTTGATTAGGGTTGCCAGGTGTCCACTATTTGAGCGGACAGTCCGCTTTTTTCACATTATCTTCACTATTTTTTTTCACAAAATAGTGGACATTTTTTTTATTCAAAAGCTTTATGATGAAATGGTACGTAATCTAAAGCTGTACAGTCTACTTTTTTTACTACTTAACACCCCCCCCCCCCGCTTGTCCACTATTTTTTGGAAGCAGACCTGGCAACCCTAGCCTTGATCCACGGAGTTAAATGTTTAAACGCCCAGCAAAACTTCCTTCCAGCTGCAGCTGAGATCACCAGGAATTCGGGGAGGGGGCTTTTCCTGCGGCCTGCCAAAGGAAAGCTATGCGCAAACAGGGGTGCCCTTTAAGGGTTGTTTGAACTCAGCACCCGGAACAGCTCCCAACACTGTCCTCACTGTGCCAGTTCACCCTTTGCTAAACGTGTCCCCAATTCTCCCCTCTTGGTGGGGTCCCCTGAGAGGAGGGGTGGTCTCCCAGAGGCCGCGGCTGTGAAGGGAGGGGCCGGGGTGGGTGGAGGGGGAGGGAAGGGAGAGGTGGGGAGGCTTCAGGACCAGTTGTACTAGTAAAGGAGAATATTTGTGGGTTGGGTTGGAAATAAGGGGGGTCCTCGGTGCTCTCTGAGCTTGGTGGTTTCCTCGCAGACGTTTCGTGACCCAACGAGGTAACACCATCAGGGCTAGTTTGAAAGCAAACAGCACTCCTTACTAGCCCTGATGATGTAACCTAGTTTGGGTCATGAAACGTCTGCAAGGAAAACAACCCATCTCTGGTGGAGCATCAGTTGTCTCGGCCTCCACTAGGGGGCAGCAGAGACCCTCGGCCACCCAGGCCACGCCCACCTCTGCTGCCAGCTGGGCCCGAGCCCTGGAGGGGATGCCCACAGCATCTCGGTCTCGGGGGGGGGGTCCAGTTCCTCTCTTAGCTTGCCAGGGTCATTCTGGCTGGCCTCACCTACGACCCCAAACTCTACTGGGCCCATGTCCACCCCGCGGCCATCCTTTGGGGCCAGATCCATTCCCGCAAGACCTTTGGCAGGGGGTCCGAAGGGACGCTTCTGCAGGGTGGGGTGGGACGCCCCTCCGTGCAAATATTCCCATGCAAAGATGGCAGAGGGAAAGTTCCACCCAGGTCAGCTGGTGTATGTGTGTGTGTGTGTGTGTGTGTGGGGAGGAGAAATGCAGCCAGAAGAGCTGTTGGTGTCCTGGACAGTCCGTCACATGTATTTATTTATTTATTTATTTATTTATTATTTAAATTTATATACTGCCCTATCTCCCTTACGGGACTCAGGGCGGTGAACAGGCCATAATAAAAATCACCATAAATATTGAATAAAAAGCCTGCTCTAAAAATACCCCATATAAAAACCCCTAGCAAAACCCAATCAAAACTACGCCAGGCCAGGCCGGCCGCATGGAACAGATGGGTTTTCAAGGCTCGGCGGAAGAGGCGCAGGTCCGTAGTTGTACGTAGGTCGGGACATGTGTGGGACTCTTGCTAGCTAGAGCCAAAGGTGGTCTGGGGTGTGTGTGTGTGTGTCCATTTCTGGAGACCCCGCCCCACTGAAGAGATGGAGGAAATGCATCAGAGGGTCTCCTTCTGCCTGGACCTTCAGCTCCCAGACCAGCCATTCCTGCTGCTTCCCCAGCGGCTGAGGACAGATGTCAGCCCCCCCCTGCATAACTGCTGCCCCCGTCAGCCTACGAACTCCATGGCTGGTAACGATTTCCACATTCCAGAGGTGCTGCCTCTCTGCAAGGCCATCTCCCATGGCCAGGGCGGCCATTAGTTACAATTAGCCCCCGGCAGAAGGGGAGGGGGCTTGATGGATGGTCTTCTGGACGTTTCATGGCGGAGGGAGAAGAGGAAGAAGGCCATCAGAGGGACATCACGCCCCCGGGAGCATTTCAGGACCTCAGCCAGCTGCTCCACACCTCACCCCCTCCCCAGCTCTTCCTGGCTCCCCCCCCACCCCAGCAAAGAAGGCTTTCCTTCTTAGTGATGACTGGGTGGGGGGACATTAAGGAAGTGGAGAATCAGCCCCCAGGGGCAGAAAGGGGCAGCAGGACCCCTTGCAGTTCTGGCTGCAAAATGCCTAGAGACCACCCCTGCCAGGTGTGAGATTACCTGATAGCTGTTACCTGGGGCAACCTCTTCCCCCCCCCCAAAATCAGGTCTCTCCTCTGCTGGCTGGTCTTCTGGTGCTGCTGGCGCATGAGATGGGGACAGTGGGGGGGGCTAGGAAGTGGGGCAGAGAGCCTCCCCAAAGGGCCTGCTGGCTGTTCCCTCCTGCACCCCCTGCTCTCTTCTGCTGAAGGCAAGCGAAGCCCCTTCCTCAGCACTTCCAAGCTGCCCCCCCTGGGAACTCCTCTGAAATGGAAAACTGTCTGGAGCCTTCCCAGTTCCTCTCCTGCTATCCCTGCAGGATTTCCATCAGTGGACAAGGGGGGGGTCTCCCTCCTTTGCTCTCCCTGCCCCCTCCTGGGGAGACCCCCGTGTTTCCCTCTGTCCTGCCTGGTGCACCAAGCACGTGAGAAGGCTGGCAGGGCTCAGGAGAGGTTGAAAAGAGCCCCTCGGACGGTCATCCCACCAAACAATCGGCAGGGGTGCAAAGCCCCCCCCCCGTGCTGGTCCTTGGCATTTGTGGCTTGTGGGTCATGCCCCACGGCTCTCCCTCCCCTCCACTGCTTGCCCCACACCCCCTTTCCAAGGGAGCCAGGTGCAGCTGCTAAAGGGATGTGGGGAGAGTTAAAATGTCTCTGGAACAGCAGAGTTCCGGTCAATATTCAGAAGACCCCCCCCCTCCACTGCTTCAGATTCCTCTCTTCCTGTTGATGGAGACCCCCTCCTGGCATATCTTAGGGGGTCTGGCTGTCTCTGCAGTCCCCATTTCCTTTGGCCAAGGACAATTGTCTCTCCCCAGCTCACCCCGTTTCCTGGTTACCCAGAGCAAAATGAGGGCATCAAGACTGGCAAGGATGCCCCTTCTTCCTTTCTTTCCTGCAGCCCCTCCGTCCATCCCCTCCTGCCCCCCTCCATATCAGGGCTCAAGGGAAGCCCCCTCTTTAATTCCCCCCCTCCCTCCCTCCCTCTCCCCTTCTCTTCCCTCCAGTCCCCGCTGTGGCTTTGTGTCATTTATCAATACCACAAACCCAGCCAGGAGAGGCACTCTGAAACGTAACGCCATCCCTGCTCATCTCCGTGGGGGCCTTTTCCCCACCCCAGCCCAGGGGTGGCGAAGGAGGGGAGGCAGATCCATGCCGGCTGGCGTGGCTGCCAGGACAGTGACGGCAGAGAGCCTTCCCAGGGGCTGAATCGAGTTTCACCCACGTCTGCCTGGGCAGAGAGAAGAGCAGGGGCGGACAGAGAGCAGCTCTGGGGGCTTATCTGGAGCTTAGCCAGAAGCCCTGCTGGTACCCACTTTCGGGGGCTTTGGGGAAATGCCCACAGCTGCTTACGGGGCCCCCCAATGTGCAGCTGGTCTCCTGGAATGCCAGGGGCTGGGGATCCTTACTCCCTTCTGACCCACAACTGAGTAACAATAGACCTAGAGCCTTCGTGGCCCCCAAACACCTTGCTTCTGCCCTGGGTGCCAATTGCCGGCTTGCCAAGTTTGGCCCAAGGACGTAAAAAACCACTTCCACAATCTGAGGGAGCCGTTGCTTGCCATGCTGTGGAGTTTCCCCTTGGGGTTGGCAGAAATCTCCTTGTGGGTCCAGGTTTTGGGCACCCCTCCTGCAGGGGGTCCCCGCTCTGCCCCTGAGTGGGACGGGAGGTCTGCTGGCACCCTGAACCAAACACCGCTGCCCCCTCCCCGCCCCGTCTCGCCTTTGGCGACAAGCAAAGCGCCCTGTCCATCACTCTGGTGAAATCAATTCGGCCCCATTAGAGCCCCATCCAGGCCGCGCTGAGCCCAGCTGGGCATGAGTCGCAGCCCCCATTACCCCACAGATGTGATTACTGAGGATTCAATAAGGCCTTTGATTAGATGAAGGTGTGCATTTTGTTCCTGGGGGGGGAGGAGCAATCACTCTTCCTGTCGCCCCCAATCAGCTGAGAAAGGCAGAGACGTGGCGGGCAGCTGAATCCGAATAATCTACCCAGATCTGGTGGGCAGAAGGACCAGGGGTGCCCTCAGCATCTTTGCACAGGGGGGGTTGCTAAGGGGTAGGGAGGCAAGGGGGGAGCTGCGGAAGAGCCTTTGACGAAGACCCAGCAGACTCCAAGGAAAGCCACTTTTTGGGGGGGGGGCTGGGATGAATAATCAGAGAAATCTCAGGGGCTGCCCCAAAGAAGAGGGAGTCAAGCTATTCTCCAAAGCCCCTGAAGGCAGGACAAGAAGCAACGGATGGAAACTGATCAAGGAGAGAAGCAACCTAGAACTAAGGAGAAACTTCCTGATGGTTAGAACAATTAACCAGTGGAACAACCTGCCTCCAGAAGCGGTGAATGCTCCAACACTGGAGGTCTTTAAGAAGAGACTGGACGGCCATTTGTCCGAAATGGTCTAGGGTTTCCTGCCTGAGCAGGGAGTTGGACTAGATGACCTCCAAGGTCCCTTCCAACTTTATCATTATTATTATTATTATTATTAAGAAAGAAGTGAAGATGACCTGGATCCTTCCTGCCTTGAGACAAGACAGATCCCCGGAAGAGATCACTCAGAAAGAGCCTCCAGGTCTGGCCTCTCATTCCAGAAATGGAAAAATAGATTTTGGTTACAGGAAGATTCGGATCACAGAACACTAGGAAAGACATCTTAAAAGTCAAAGTAGTTGGAGAGGGGGTGCAACCCTGGAGGCCAGGGTCTTTCCAGGGTCCCCTAATTGGGGGGTCCTGCACTGAGCAGAGGGTTCAAAGGCTTCTATGACCCCGTAATTCTATTGTTTTAGACACGAGCAGAATTTGTGCGTTCCATTTGGAAGGGAAGAAACGGTTTCCATGCCCAAAGGGCCTGGCTTTGTCTGGGCCCCCCAAATTTGGAGCAAGCAAAGGAGGGCCCACCTGCATCCCACAAACCAGGGCAGATGAGGGTTTGGGGGGGGTTCCCTCCCCAGGCCTCTACAGGGGTGTCTGAACGGGGAAAAAAAGGCAGACGCATCTCCTTCCAAAGAGGTGAGTGAATTGACAGATTTTATTTCAGCATTCAGCCCAGATTCTTTCCAGCACGTTCATACAGGCATCAAACACCGAGAGCTCAGCCTGGGTGTGACGTGACCCCCAAACCTCCTTGAGGTGGCCCTGGTGGCCCTTTTGGGTTGTGGAAGACGGATCCCCACCCATTGGGAAGACAGGTGGGGTCTGCCCAGTCTACGACCTGGCCAATATATTAAGTGCTTAGAAATGGGGAGGTGGGGTGGAGAAGGCTGGAGGAACCCCTCCAGCAGAGCTAATCCCTCTATCGGGGGTCCCTAATCCAATTAAATGTCATTCCTTAATCCCTTCTGCCTTGAAAATTGTGTTTCATCACCAGCTCCCCTTGAGAGCTGGGCACACGGAAGGGCCCGTGTTTTGGGGGGGGGATGGTCTGAGGAAGTGACTGATTGTCCTGCACGCTAATTTATCCAAAGACACTTTTCCGAAGAGCCTTTACCCTGAGCTGGGTCCAAACACCATCCATCTTGTTGTTTGAGAAAGTGAGAAAAGCTTCACAACGAAGTGAGAAAAGCCGCACAGCCACAAAGCAAAGGGGAGCAAACGCAGGCTGGGTGGGCTGTAAGGCTCTGGCCTAAGCAGGAAGGCCCCTCACCCAGCAATCTGCCACTAATTGTGGCTTTAGCCCCCCTGAGGTGGAAAAAAACAGCAGGTTATTTTGGAGGCAATATTCAAATCAGAAAAAGCACCAGCTTAGCTTCGGTTTAAACCATGCCTCATATGGAGAGGACGGGGCTTCTGCTGGTCTTAATTGGCCTGGATGTCCGTCGCGCTTTGCCAGCCCGTTCTCAATCTCAGGTTTGTCTGAATCCTCCAGACCACACACCCCCCTCCACTGCCAGGAAAAGTTATTTATTATAATAAAGATCTACAGCTTAGGACACTAAATAAGAACGTGTAAGCAGCGCGCTGTTTCTCCTCGTGCCCAGTCTGACACCACCACGTTTGTCTGCCTCCCACAACAGGCGTCTGGAGAGAGTCACTTGGATCGTCTTCTGAGCACCGACGACGGGAAAAACAGGTTTACGTCACCCTGGACAAGGCCGAGTGGCTCTCCCGCCTCGCCTGGCCTTGCCTTGCCTTGCCTCGCCTGGCCTGGCCTCCCTCCCGAGTCCTCCTGGCAGCTGCCCAGGACCAAATAGGAACAGCTCTGGTGAACTGAGATCTGCAAGGTCGGTCTTCCACCAGCGGGTCAGGGTCTCTTCCCCTAAACAAGCCTTTATATACACAAGGTGGGGAAATGCCCAAAGCAGGGCGAGAAAGTGTTTTGCCTTTCCGAGAGGGAATCAGTGTTTTCCCTGGCAGGCAGTTCACGAAAGAGGTCTTGCGTGGGTTGAGTTTCTTGGTTGGTTGGATGGGTGGATGGATGGATGGATGGATGAAGAAGCTGGGGCAACTGCCCCCTCTCCCCGTCCCCCTTAGCTGAGAATAGCCAGGTACACCGGAGGGGCCTTGACCAGCGTCTGCAAGCAGCTGTGGATGTGTTTAATGCCCTGCCGTTGCTGGGGCTCCCTCTGCCAGCAGCTCTGCATGATGTGGTAGACCTCCGAGGGGCAGGTCCGAGGCCTCTCCAGCTCCCGGCCCTGCGTGATGCACTCGATGGCCTGCAAAGTGTGAGAGGGACAAGCATGGCTGGCTTCCCTCTGGCAGTGCGCTGCCCACGTGGTTCTCACAGCAAGAGCGGTGCCTAGAAGCCACCCGTGTTTCCGCTTCTGGGTGCGTTCTCATCCCGGGAAACAAAAGGCACCACTTAAAAGTGGTCCTCCGTGCAGGAAGGTTTGGGGTAGGCTAACCTGGGGAGGAGAGATGACCCCTACCCCATTTGCTCACCCAGCCCTGTCCTGTCACTCCTGGGGGTGTCGCCCTCCCCCAAAGCTGGCCGTGGGCTGCGGTCTGGACAGGCTCCTTCACCTCTGCCGACCCCAAGACCGTTGTCCGGGCAAAGCTGCCCAGAGGCGATGGGAGCAAGCGAGGGCCAGCGTCCCCCTCCCATCATCTGGCACCGGCAGCCCCCCCTTACCTCCGTGTTGGAGAGCTGGTACCAGGGCTGCTTCCCGTAGGTGAAGATCTCCCACAGGACCACCCCAAAGCTCCAGATGTCACTCTCGGTGGTGAACTTGCGGTAGAGGATGCTCTCCGGGGGCATCCAGCGGATGGGGAGCATGGTACGGCCCCCCACCTGGAGAGGGGAAGGCACGGGGTGAACGGGTGGTGGTCAGAGCCTGGGGGAGTTGCAGCAAGATGCCACCTGTGCCACGGCCGGGGTTTCAGCCGGGCCTGTTTGTTGCCAGGCAGAACGGAGGGCACAGGCAGGGCACCCAAGAGATGCCAGTCAGGAGGGGCACTCAGCACCCTCAGTATTTGGGGGGCATGGCCACCTTGGGCACGGGCATGACCTCTGCCCCAGGGTGGCCTCCCTTCCACTCCAGGAAGTGGACTTAACCAAGATGCTTTCTATGGAGTCCCTGCTGCCTCCTCTTCCTCCTCCTCCTCTTCCTCCGTGGGAACCCTCCCGTCTCTTTCCTCACAGACTTCCCCAGCCTCCATCTGCTTTCTTGCTCCGTGCCTTCTCCCCCCTTTTAATTAACCGTTAAATAGCAGCGCTCTGCCTCCACCCCCCATCTTTCCACTGGCTAAGTGCATATAGGTTTTTCCACCCCAGGCCCCATTAAATATGAATAGAGGCGGGGGGGGGGAAACTAAAAGGGAAAAAGAGAGGGAGGGGGGACAGGCCTGGCCAGGTGCCCCCCCTGCCTGGGAGGGAGAAGGGGAGCTGGAAGCCACTGCTTGACCATCAGTCTTGTAGGACCCCAAAATGATTCCCTGGCAAAATCCAGTACAAACCCCAGAGGCATCGGCATTGTTGGCGAGGATCCTGATGGTATCTTGGGGGGAGGCTCAGAGGAGGAAGCCCCCCGAGAAGCCAGGGGGGAGAGTTTCCCATATAATGGGCAGAGAGGAGCACCAGGTGCCAGTCAGGAGAGAGGGGCATCCGAGCGGGACAGTAGACTCCAAATTGGCCGCAGGAAGTGCGGCCAAGGCCAGGGATAATCAGAGGGGGACGGTCCCAAGCTCCCCGGAAGGCGGCAGTCCTTACCCCCGTCCTTACCCGATAGTAGTCGGTGCTGTAAATGTCTCGCGACATGCCGAAGTCCCCGATTTTCACCACCAGGCCGTGCCCCACCAGGCAGTTGCGGGTGGCCAGGTCCCGGTGGACGAAGTGCTGGGAGGCCAGATAGACCATGCCGGAGGCGATCTGCGTGGCGATCTGCAGCATTTCGCTCAGGGTCAGCTGCCCAAAGGACTGGCCGTTCCCGTTGTCCAGCATCTTGGCATCCGGCCCGTGTGACCTGCAAGGCGGGAGGAGAGGGGGGTTGAGACCCTCCTCTGCTTTGATCCCGGAGCTCTCAATTTGCTCTTTGCTGGGATTTTGTGCCAGCCACGAGGCGGTCCTCTTCGGAAGTCCAGGTTTTTCTCTTTTTGCAAACTTACACCTGAACTGTGCCAACCTCAGGAAGGAGGTGGGAATGGCAGGATGGCAGCTGAGGGCAGGATGCCCCTTCCCCACCCCCCAGGTGGGCGAGTCCGGGGCCATTTCCCAAAGCAGTTCTCCGCTTTCTCCCCTGACCCAAAGCCCGGCCGGCCCCGGCCACCCCCCTCCATTAATGCCAAGTCTTATCACCGTAACCCTCCGAGCTGCGCCTCTCCCAGCCCGTCCGAGGGAGGCTGGCAGCTCTCGCCTACGGGCAATACCTGGGGGCCGATCGAAAGAGGCTCCGATTATTCCAGCTGATGGCAATCCCCTCCAATTTGAGCCTTTCAGACAAGTAATCTAATCAATATTGCAAAGCGAAGATTGCATTAGCCGGGGAGGGAGAGAAAGGCCGGGGAGGCTGCTCCAGTAATGGAGAAGGGGGGGGGGAGGAGGAGGAGGCACAGGCCGGGGAGGGGGGGAGCTGTGAGGAAGGAGGAACAAGGTGGGACAGTTGTGGGCCACAGGGACCCAGCCAACCACTGGAAAAGGAAAGAGAGAGAGAGAGAGAGAGAGAGAGAGAGAGAGAGAGAGAGAGCTACGATAGAAATAGAGATAAAGAGAGACATACAAATGACATAGATAGACCAGAAAGACAGACATAGATATTGATGGACGGACGGACGGACGGACAGACAGACAGACATGATAGAAATAGAGATAAAGAGAGACAGGCAGATGACAGAAAGATAGACAGATAAAAACACAGATAGATAGATAGATAGATAGATAGATAGATAGATAGATAGATAGATAGATAGATAGATAGATAGATAGATAGGAAGAAACACACACACACACACACACACACACAGAGAGAGAGAGAGAGAGAGAGAGAGAGGAAGAAGATGATGATTGATAGTGAGAGAGAGACGATAGATAGATAGATAGATAGATAGATAGATAGATAGATAGATAGATAGATAGATAGATAGATAGATAGATAGATAGATAGATGGATGGATGGATGGATGGATGGATGGATGGATGGATGGATGGATGGATGGATGGATGGATGGAGAGAGAAAGAGAGAGAGAAATAATAATGATGACGATGATGATGATGGGCATCGCAGCCCCTCACCGGAGGAAGCGGTTGAGGTCCCCGTGCTTCATGTACTCAAACAGCATGATGAGGGGCTCCCCATCGGTGCAGACCCCATAGAAGGTGACAATGTGCTGGTGCTGCAGGACGGTCAGCAGCTCCGCCTCCCGCTGGAAGTCCAGACGGGCGCTCTCCGTGGCTTCTTTCAGGGTCTCCAGAGAGAGAGAGAGGGAGGGGGAGGAGAGAGAGAGGGAGGGGGCTGCTCAGTGAGGAGAGTTGGGGCCTCAGGCCCACCCAGGGTCCCTCCAGGCAGCCCCTTCCCAGGGATGAGAAAGATGGGGCGGGAGGGGAGGGGGGCTGCTCACCTTGACGGCCACCAGCATCTTCTCCTGGGTGGGGCTGAGGTTGTGGCACTCGGCCAGGAAGACCTTCCCAAAAGCCCCCTCGCCCAGCTCCCACTTCAGCAGAAGGTCTTTGCGCTTGATGTGCCGGACAGCTGGGGTGGGGGGGGAGAGGGGGGAAGCCAAACATCAATGGGGAGGGGTCAGTGGGAGAGGGTCAGTGTGGCTGGCCTCCTCCAGAGCCCAGCTGGGGACCAGGAGGGACCAGAGAATTGGGGCTCCCCTGCCCCTCCCCCAGCAGTAGAGCCTGGGTGTCCCCCCCCCCAGCCCCGAGCACCTACGGGTGTTGCAGAAGTACTGGGGGTTCTCCACGAAGCTGCTCTTCAGCCCCTCCAGCTTGCTCTCCACGGAGGAGCGGGGGCTGCTGCTCACGTCCATGAACTGCAGGGACATGGCCAGGTCATCCTCTGGAGCCAACACCACGGACCCTGCGGGGAAGGCCAGGGGATTGCCAAAGCTGCCCAGGGCTGAGATGGGCTTGCTGGTCAGCTGGTCAGGAGTCCAATGGCCCCAGACAGAGCGAGGCTCACAGATGGGAGGGCGGCCTTGTTCCCAAAGAGAACAAGGTGGGGTACCTGTGCTGCGAAGTCCAGCCCACCTGGGAAAGGGCTTAAATTTCCCCCCGGGGGAAGTGCGATCCCAGAAGAGTGTCTAGAAACAGCCTTTGCAACCAGGAGGAGGAGGAGGAGGAGGAGGAGGGACTAAGCCGCATAATTTTCAAGGAGTTTGCAAACTCTGGACGAGCATCCGTGCACATGTTGCAGAGGTGGTTCGCCCAGCCTCGTCCTGGGACGTTCTTTGACTTTCCAGTTTTGGATTTCCTAGTGGTCTCCTGCCCAAGCAGGCCCTCCCTGGCTAGCTTCAGGCCCAGGCCAGGTTGTCCAGGTGTCGAGGCTCCCTTCTCCAGAGGGTCCTCCAAGGGACCCCCAGACCCTGCAGACAGGAGGATCCCAGTGCCCATCGCGGCCACCCGCGCCTGCCGGAGCGCATCTGTTGTCTGAGCGGCCTGCAGAGGGCGAGGAGGGGCGTGTTTGCCGCGCCAATCTGGAGCCCCCCTGCTGAAAGGGAGGCAGTGCCAGGGGAGCCGTCAGCAGAGCATTTAAGCCTCCAGTAATTACCGTGAGAGGGTCCTGCTCCCCCCCCCCAGCCCTTCCCCATGCATCTTCATCAACGTCAGGCACGGCTGCTGGAGCCTGGGGGGGGGAGAGATAACGGCTCCAGAGCCGCTCTGTGGAAGGAGGGGGTGGTGGGCTTCCAAGGGAGCAGAGGGCTTCCAGGGGGGGGTCTCACGTTTCTCCAGTCAGGACCAGAAGGGGCTTGGCCTTGCCGGCTTCTGGTGGGGGCTCTTGGGCTGACCTGGGCAGGGGGTCCCCGTGGTCTCCCCTCCAGCCAATCCTGCAAAGCGTTTGCAAGAGCAGCCAAAAGCGGCGGAAGTCTACCTGGCAATGGGGAGGGCGGAGCAAGGAGGCCTGGCAACTGGCATGCCTAGGAGGGCAGCTTCTTTGCCCCCCCCTTTAGTTCGAGGCTTGGCAGCCCCATAAGCAGAGCGGGCTTGGTCTCCTCTGCCAGCTTAGCAGGAGCAGCACTCACGTAGCAAGGGTGTGAGTGTGTTTTGGGGGGGGGCTGGATGACTCCAACAACAACAAGTGGCTGCTGCTTCCCTCCCCCCACCTCCCCCCACTGCCTTTTGCTGCCTTTCCAGCCCCCCTGGGGGTGATTCAGGCCGATCAAGCCCATTTACAGGCTGAATCAATTCCAGCAGTGAATTAGCAGCTGATGCCTGCCTGAAGGGGGAGGAGGAGGAGGAGGAGGAGGAGGAGGATAGGAGGAGGAAGGCTAACAAAAAGGGGGGAGGCCGTGGGAGGGGGACAGCTGCTCCTCACCCTGTTGCCTTCCCTTCACCAGCCCTCAGGACCACCTCTAACCCCCAAAATCTCTGGCTCCGGAGAAGTCCACCCCGGCTCAGGGCAGAGCAAGGGGGGGTGGAGTAGAGAAGTCTGAAGCCCCCTCCCACTTACGCTTGAGGCTGAATTTGGAGTGCTGTCCACACTTGTTCAGGATGACCAGCATGATGGACAGGAAGATGCAGGCACAAACGGCCAGGACCACGGCCACAAAGATCTGCGGAGTGTGGGGGGGGGGAGAGGGAGAGTGAGTGGTACCCTCGGCTGCCCCCCTCCCAAGAAGAAGGCTCCCCCTCCCTCCCTCCCTCCCCCCGTCCCCAAGAGGTGCTCCTTCTTGGTCCTTTACCCCAACCGGGTGCTCCTCTGAGGTCTCCACGGCTCCCCCCTCGGTGCCATTCTTGTCCTCCGTTCCTGGGCACAAAACAGAGAGCAGAATCAGGCCACTTCCAGCCAGGTGCCCCCCCTCCATCCTTGGCAGCGGCTGAGATTCTAGCCTCCCCCCCCCGGCCACATCTGGGGCACCCTCTTGACCCTGGTTTGCCCACCCTTTTGATCTGGGAGGGGGGAACAGGGTCTCCGTGGGGTGCCTTCATGCACACATCCATCTCTCTCTCTTGGATGGCCCTCCTCCATCCCAGACAGGGTGGGGCCCTCCTCCCTCGCCCTCCCCAGGGGCAAAAGAGAGCCACACTTACTGCCCGGCGTGAGGGAGCCTTAGCAGCAAGAAAAGAGAAGGAGAAGGAGGGGAACGTTGGCGAACCTTCAAAGCTCAGGTTTCCCCCCCCCAAATGAATGGCCCCCGAATGGCACTCTTTCTCCCCTCCTCCTCCTCGTCTCTTTCTTGCACACAATTACACACTCATGCGCACACACACCGACAGCCAAGCCGGCCTCCACGGGCACTTTCACACGGCTCTTGAGTCCCCCCCCCCAAGTTGGGCACCGCTCTCAATATTCCTGCCATCTTGGGNCTCCAGGCAGCCCCTTCCCAGGGATGAGAAAGATGGGGCGGGAGGGGAGGGGGGCTGCTCACCTTGACGGCCACCAGCATCTTCTCCTGGGTGGGGCTGAGGTTGTGGCACTCGGCCAGGAAGACCTTCCCAAAAGCCCCCTCGCCCAGCTCCCACTTCAGCAGAAGGTCTTTGCGCTTGATGTGCCGGACAGCTGGGGCGGGGGGAGAGGGGGGAAGCCAAACATCAATGGGGAGGGGTCAGCGGGAGAGGGTCAGTGTGGCTGGCCTCCTCCAGAGCCCAGCTGGGGACCAGGAGGGACCAGAGAATTGGGGCTCCCCTGCCCCCCCCCAGCAGTAGAGCCTGGGTGTCCCCCACCCCAGCCCCGAGCACCTACGGGTGTTGCAGAAGTACTGGGGGTTCTCCACGAAGCTGCTCTTCAGCCCCTCCAGCTTGCTCTCCACGGAGGAGCGGGGGCTGCTGCTCACGTCCATGAACTGCAGGGACATGGCCAGGTCATCCTCTGGAGCCAACACCACGGACCCTGCGGGGAAGGCCAGGGGATTGCCAAAGCTGCCCACGGCTGAGATGGGCTTGCTGGGCTTGCTGGTCAGGAGTCCAATGGCCCCAGACAGAGCGAGGCTCACAGATGGGAGGGCGGCCTTGTTCCCAAAGAGAACAAGGTGGGGTACCTGTGCTGCGAAGTCCAGCCCACCTGGGAAAGGGCTTAAATTTCCCCCCGGGGGAAGTGCGATCCCAGAAGAGTGTCTAGAAACAGCCTTTGCAACCAGGAGGAGGAGGAGGAGGAGGAGGAGGAGGGACTAAGCCACATAATTTTCAAGGAGTTTGCAAACTCTGGACGAGCATCCGTGCACATGTTGCAGAGGTGGTTCGCCCAGCCTCGTCCTGGGACGTTCTTTGACTTTCCACTTTTGGATTTCCTAGTGGTCTCCTGCCCAAGCAGGCCCTCCCTGGCTAGCTTCAGGCCCAGGCCAGGTTGTCCAGGTGTCGAGGCTCCCTTCTCCAGAGGGTCCTCCAAGGGACCCCCCAGACCCTGCAGACAGGAGGATCCCAGTGCCCATCGCGGCCACCCGCGCCTGCCGGAGCGCATCTGTTGTCTGAGCGGCCTGCAGAGGGCCAGGAGGGGCGTGTTTGCCGCGCCAATCTGGAGCCCCCCTCCTGAAAGGGAGGCAGTGCCAGGGGAGCCGTCAGCAGAGCATTTAAGCCTCCAGTAATTACCGTGAGAGGGTCCTGCTCCCCCCCCCAGCCCTTCCCCATGCATCTTCATCAACGTCAGGCACGGCTGCTGGAGCCTGGGGGGGGGAGAGATAACGGCTCCAGAGCCGCTCTGTGGAAGGAGGGGGTGGTGGGCTTCCAAGGGAGCAGAGGGCTTCCAGGGGGGGTCTCACATTTCTCCAGGCAGGACCAGAAGGGTCTTGGCCTTGCTGGCTTCTGGTGGGGGCTCTTGGGCTGACCTGGGCAGGGGGTCCCCATGGTCTCCCCTCCAGCCAATCCTGCAAAGCGTTTGCAAGAGCAGCCAAAAGCGGCGGAAGTCTACCTGGCAATGGGGAGGGTGGAGCAAGGAGGCCTGGCAACTGGCATGCCTAGGAGGGCAGCTTCTTCGCCCCCCCCCCCCGCCCGTTTAGTTCGAGGCTTGGCAGCCCCATAAGTAGAGCTGGCTTGGTCTCCTCTGCCAGCTTAGCAGGAGCAGCACTCACGTAGCAAGGGTGTGAGTGTGTTTTGGGGGGGGCTGGATGACTCCAACAACAACAAGTGGCTGCTGCTTCCCTCCCCCCACCTCCCCCCACTGCCTTTTGCTGCCTTTCCAGCCCCCCTGGGGGTGATTCAGGCCGATCAAGCCCATTTACAGGCTGAATCAATTCCAGCAGTGAATTAGCAGCTGATGCCTGCCTGAAGGGGGGGAGGAGGAGGAGGAGGAGGAGGAGGAAGGCTAACAAAAAGGGGGGAGGCCGTGGGAGGGGGACAGCTGCTCCTCACTCTGTTGCCTTCCCTTCACCAGCCCTCAGGACCACCTCTAACCCCAAAAATCTCCGGCCCCCAGAGAAGTCCACCCCGGCTCAGGGCAGAGCAAGGGGGGGGGTGGAGTAGAGAAGTCTGAAGCCCCCTCCCACTTACGTTTCAGACTGAATTTGGAGTGCTGTCCACACTTGTTCAGGATGACCAGCATGATGGACAGGAAGATGCAGGCACAAACGGCCAGGACCACGGCCACAAAGATCTGCGGAGTGGGGGGGGGGGGAGAGGGAGAGTGAGTGGTACCCTCGGCTGCCCCCCTCCCAAGAAGAAGGCTCCCCCTCCCTCCCTCCCTCCCCCCCTCCCCAAGAGGTGTGCCTTCTTGGCCCTTTACCCCAACTGGGTGCTCCTCTGAGGTCTCCACGGCTCCCCCCTCGGTGCCATTCTTGTCCTCCGTTCCTGGGCACAAAAGAGAGAGCAGAATCAGGCCACTTCCAGCCAGGTGCCCCCCCTCCATCCTTGGCAGCGGCTGAGCTTCTAGCCTCCCCCCCCCCCGGCCACATCTGGGGCACCCTCTTGACCCTGGTTTGCCCACCCTTTTGATCTGGGAGGGGGAAACAGGATCTCCGTGGGGTGCCTTCATCCACACAGAGAGGATCTCTCTCTCTCTTGGGAATCACCCGGTTTCTGGATGGCCCTCCTCCATCCCAGACAGGGAGGGGCCCTCCTCCCTCGCCCTCCCCAGGGGCAAAAGACAGCCACACTTACTGCCCGGCGTGAGGGAGCCTTAGCAGCAAGGAAAGAGAAGGAGAAGGAGGGGAACGTTGGCGAACCTTCAAAGCTCAGGTTTTCCCCCCCCCCAAATGAATGGCCCCCGAATGGCACTCTTTCTCCCCTCCTCCTCCTCGTCTCTTTCTTGCACACAATTACACACCCATGCGCACACACACCGACAGCCAAGCCGGCCTCCACGGGCACTTTCACAGGGCTCTTGAGTCCCCCCCCCCAAGTTGGGCACCGCTCTCAATATTCCTGCCATCTTGGGCACTACCGGGTCCCTGGGCAGGGAATCAGGGTTGGCATCTCGGCAGTGGCAGACACCCCCCCCCCCCCCCCGTGCCCGACCCAGAGCAGAGCCATGCAGCCGAGCCTGGTACCGTGGAAGGGCTCCTCCTCCTGGAAGTTCGGATCCGGGAGGTCCATGAAGTGCTGGTAGGTGGTGCAGGAGGCCGAGCCCAGGGCGTTGGCCACCCGCAGGGTGTAGTTGCCATTGAAGAAGTGCGAGGGCTTGTCGAGGATCAGGCAGCCGTGGACGATGGTGGTGGTGGGGACGTCTTCCGAGAAGAGCTGGGTGTAAACGATCGGCGTCTCCAGGAGATCCTGCTGGTCGAACTGCCACCGGATGCTGGGCGTGGGGTTGCCGTCCACGGAGAAGGGGATGCACCAGCGGTAGTACATGACGGCCTGGCCCACCGCGCGAATCACGGCTGGGACTGCGGAAAGGAAGGGAAACGGAGGTCCATTTGTGGGGCACCCTGAACTGGCCGGCCCTTTGCCTGTCTCAAATTTCTTCTCTCGCACGTCTTGACCGCGGGGTTTGGGTCAGGCGCTCGGCCCTCCAGTCCCATCCAGACTGGACTTCCAAGAGGGACGGGGATGGAACAAGTGAGCCCGGGGGGGGGCAGGAAGAGGTAGGGAGGGCCCAGAAGCATGGGCTTTTGAACTCATCCCCAGCTCGCAAAGCCCCTGCTGGGTTTGGATCAACAACAAGCTGGGTGGTAGAGTCATGCACGCCAAGGCTGGACTCTACCACTTGGGGAGGAGGCAGTCCACCATATTTCTGGGCTCAGAGGCCCTAAATCTGCCAGGAGCGCCCCGGGCATCTTTTCTTTTCTAACTTCTTGCAAGGAAAAAACACCTGCCAAACACACACAGGTAGAGCTAATACCTTCTTCTAAGCCCTCTTTGCTGAATGCCAGCTAAAAGGGACCACCCCCACCCACCCTGCCCTGATACCCCTGCCCCTTTCCCCTTACAGGTCACGTTCAGCCGGGCCACGGCTTCCCCCATGCCCGCTTCGTTCTCTGCTCGGCAGGTGATGTTTTGCAGGTTGAAGCTGGACGAGACGTTCGTGATCTGCAGCACAATTTCCGACTCCGAGTTCTGGGACAGCAAGTGAGGTGAGTCACTGACCAGCCAGCCCCTCTGCCCTTCTCCCCAGGCTGGCACAAAGGGGGGCAGCTGACCTCTTGAGCACGCCCTCCCCCTTTTGATGCCCCAGCCTTTGGACGCCAAGCCAGGATTCCAGAGAGGAAGGGCAACCGCAGGCAGCCGAAGGACCCCAGACCTTCTCAGCGCCGATGGACTGCCTCTCCGCTTTAAGGGCCCCACTTCTCAGCCAACCGGGGGGTCCCTTGAGGTCGCTCCCAGGGCGGCAGCACCCACCACTTGCCTTGGTTCTGAGGGGGCGTTCAGCCCCCACCTGGGGCACATCCCAGCCTGCCACCGGCTTCGGCTCTCCTGTGATGTGACACGTCAGGTTGACGCTCTGGCCTTCTGCCATCGGGGTGGGATCGTAGCGGATCCGGACCTTGGGAAAATCTGCACAGGGAGGGAGGAGGAGAGTGGGGGGGTCGAGGTAGCCAGCACGAGACACCCCCCCCTAGCTGGGGAGGGATTCTCATGCAGCAGCAAAGGGAGACGGGAAAATCCTGGACTGGGCTGGAATTGCATCCATGCAGGAAGAAAACCCACATCCGGTGAATTTTGGCCAGGGGGTCCCCCACTCAGAGGGTCTCTGCCTTACCACAGCCAGAGAGGGTGAGGTTGAAGACGGGGACCAGGGTCCTGTCCTCCTGCAGGCACTGGAGGGACTGGTTGCCCGCCCAGTCAAGCTGCCTCTTCTGCTGCCAGGATTGTAGCCACAGCAGTCCACAAACACACCGGAGGGGGTTCCCCACAAGGATCCTGCCCAGAGAAAGTGTGTTTGTGGGGGGGGGGAACAGAATCAGGCTGATAAAGCTGCAACAGCCCCCCCCCCCAGCTTCCATCCAGATTAGGGCCTCCAGAGAACATCCATTTCCTTATTTTTAAATTTTATTTTTTGGTCAATGCCTCCGGCTCTCCAGAATGGCCTTTAAAAGGGGAGAGTGATGTTTGCCAAGCCTGATTAGAAACCCAATTTATCCACGCTGGTCTTTTAATACTTGCTTAAAGCGGAGTGGTTCTGCAAATTGCATTATGGAATAGAAGCTGCTGCCTCTTTGATTCTGAGTTAATCAATCCAGACCGAGGAGGGGAGCACCTCACAGGGATGTCAAGAGGATGGACTCGGCCGAAGGAAAAACACCACGGCGAGGAAGGGGGGGACCATCGCCTCCCCTCCCTCCGGATCAGGCCTTTCCTTAGCAGAAAAGCAGGAATATTTTGCAGGAGAGGCTCAACAGGTGTTGCAAAGAATAAATCGGGGTTCCATCAGAGCAAATGAAGCCGCTTGGACATTCAAAGGACTCTCCGATCTCCTGCACGGTTCAGCAAAGTCCAGCTGTAGCTCAGTAAAATTTAAAGGCTGGAAGATGGCAGGGGGAGGGGGAGAAGGGGCTCTGCCAGAAATCAAGGACAAGACCAAAGTTTGTGAGTTGGAAGGGTAACAGTCTCTGTGTGTGTGTGTGTGTGCGTTTGTGTGTATGCAGAGACTCACAGCTCTTGAAGGCGGAGATGATAGAAGACCCTCCAGGAAAGGAATTCCAACTGGTTGAAGGCCAGATTCCTAGGCAGAGACAGAAGGAAATGACTTCCTTGCCCCCCCCCAGTCCCTCCTCCCTTTCACACAGCCTGCTTGCTCTCCCTACAGGCAGAGATTCAGCAGGTAAAGCCCCTTCAGGCTGGGACTGGCCCAGAAGCCTCAGCCAATCGTTCTAGATCTATTTATTGCATTGCCAAGTTTACCACCAAATGCAGGCAGCCCCACCCGGTGGCTTGGACCCCGACTCTTGTGCCCAAGCTGGGCTTCCTCGTTGGGGGGAGGCTTCTCTTCATTTGGGGAGCAGCATCCCATCCGCCCTCGCTGGGAGGTGACACAGGGCCTGGTCTGAGGGAGGCCAAGGGCCAGCGGGACAGCCCAGGAACGGAAGCAGCAGCTTCTGCCCTTTGGAGCTGACCCATCCACCTGCCTCTGGCCTTGGCGCTGCCCGTTGCCCCCCCGGGGGCGGCCCAACGCCAGCCTATCCAGTCACTTTTGGCTTGGCTCTCCTGCAGGGCAAGAGAACAGCCAGAACTGGGCCGCGCAGGGACCCATCGATCGATCGTTCTGCGTTGCGGAGGGACATTAACCCTAACAATGATTAATCGTGTTCCTGGCAAGCTGTTAATAAACAAAGGAGAGGGGCAAGGTGGAGAATCGACCTGCAGGGGTAGCAGGGAGGGACCCCTGGGGCTTCTCGGATGGAGCGGACATCAGCTCCTCTTCCTGAGGCAGATCGGTCAGGGCTGGTCATCGTCTAGGTCCGTGTTTCTCAGCCTCAGCAAGTTTAAGATGGGTGGACTTCAGCTCCCAGAATTCCACAGCCAGAAACGCTGGGAGTTGAAGTCCACCCACCTTCAATTTTCTGAGGTCGAGAAACCTTGGAGAGATGCTTCAGAGGGTGGTCCAAGTTCTGCCAATGCTGTCTGGACTTTGCCCAGGCCAAGCTGCCCCAATGACCCTCTCTGCAGAGAGCCCCCAGCCAAGAGGGGCCCCATTCAGAACACTCACACGTGGGTCAGGTTTGGGCTGGCCTTGAAGGCATCTGGAGCAATGAACTTCAGGTGGGTCCTCGCGATGGTCCTGCAAGAAAGGCATAAAGTCCCAGAGGGAGGAAGGGGCGAAGAACCCCCCCCTCTCTGCCCAGGCAGAGCCCCCCCATGCCAAGCCCCCCCTCTGCCCTTTCCTCCTGAGCTGGCCAAGCCCCCTTGTCCTCCCAAACTCACAGATTCTTCAGCTCCTTGGGGTTTTTCAGATCTTCCCCTGTCAGGTTGATCAGCTCGGGCTGGTTTTCGACAACTCTGAAAAAGAGCAGACCCCCTTCAGAAAGAGCAGACCCCCTTTTTTGCTCTGCAGCAGCTCCGGTCCTCTCTCTCTAGCCCCGAGGTGTGACGTATTTATTTATTTATTGTATGCGTCATTCACATCCTTTTTCAATAAAAAGGAACACAGGGGCAAAATACAAAACACAGAATATAAAACCAGGAAGAACACAAACGTACATCTCAGTTGCAAATATAATTTTTTTTTACTTCGTTTATCGCCGCCAGCACAAGCTCCGTTATAGGCTCCGTTTTGACCCCCGGTCACTACGTGTTGGATCATTTATTTTTCGGCCCCACAGTCACAATTCGGCGGCGGTGTTTTGCCCCACCTCAGACCCAAGTGTGAACCCACCAGGCATTTCTTATGATTGCCAAGTGAAAAAGCAAACCACGGTTCAAAAGTCCAGGAGCCACGTGTGGGTGAGTGCCCTTCAGTGGGGCTGACTGTGTTGAGGCATAGGGCCGGCTGGCTCGCTCTGGCTGAGCCCAGGGAGGACCGGGTGGGCACCTCCCTCCCCACCTCTCCACAGCTTTTCCGGGAACTCCTCGCTTCCTGCCACCCGGCATAATTGATGTGTCCCTCTGATGTTGAGAAAAACAGCCTTGGCATAATGGACCATCAGTTCTCGCCACTTAAGCGGTTCAGAAGATAGAGAGAAGAGCTATTAGCAGGAACCGGTAGGCAAGCTGAAGCTTCAGGACCGGGCAGGATGGTGCCCCTTCATCCCCAGCAGAGCAAACCAAAATACAATTCACACACACACACAACACACCCATTCCTACAAAAAACGGCCTCTAGAAAGCGACTAAGGTTAAGCTGGAGTGGAAGAAACGCCTGATCCACTTTTTACACTTTTTACAAATAATCAAGTCAAACTGGGCCACCGGAATGAATCTCAGGCCGGACAAATCAACCCTCAGAACTGGAGAGGTTTTTTTAGGTGACTGACCCTGAATAACACATTGTTTTCCCCAAAAATTAATACAATTAATGTGTTGACGGTTTTTGGCTTCCCTCTGCCTTTAATTCATTCTTTGCATCAAACGGACAGAAAAATGTAATGAATGCGGCGGGCTGCCCTATTGTGAAATATTTACGGGCCGCCTAATGTGTTTAGCTCCCAGGATTCGAATGATTGATTTTCCTCCCCTGACAGTGTTTCCGTTCAGACCACTTTGCCCAGCAGCGCCCGTGAAAGCGACGTTGGGTATGATTTGGGTTTGTGCGGCTTACAAAGTGTACGGCCTCTGCTGCTAAGTAAGATTTGTGAAAGAGCGGAAAAATGGCCCGCACTCTCCACTTGGCATGTTGTAAACAGCAGAAGTGTCTTGGTTGATCCTAAGGAGAAGTGAAAGGCTCATAAAATAATAAACGTCCAGCTTATCCGAGAAAGGTGATGCCACAAAGCAGAAGGAAGGGTGTGTGCGTTGGGGGGAGGACTAGAAAAGACGCCGGGGTGTGTGTGTGTGTGTGTGTGAAGTGGTGCCAAGTGACGAACTCCGCTGCATTGCGGGCACAGGATTGGGTGGGTTGCGACCCACGGCAGGCGCAGGGGTGTGAAGCGGGGCCTCGGGGTGCAATACAATGCCAGGCTGCACAAAAAAACTCTCAAAAGCCAACGGGGAAAAAGGGGCTGGCATTTTGGGGCTACAGGGCACATGAAGAGGAGCTTGGCCAAGTCAAATCTATTCCCACCCTTCACTGAGAAAGTGGGGGTAGGGCTTCTGCCGAGTGGCTTCTATGTGCCCCCCCTCACTCAGTGGAGGTGCTCATCAGTAGGACCCAAACCCTCCATTCTTGGGAGGGGGGGAGCTTCCCAGTGAGACTAGCATTTCGGTGGCACCTTTCCCAGGGTACACGCTAGTTTCCATTTTTACGCCTAATTAACTTCGGGGCTGGCCTGAATCCGCACCTCTGCCTTTGGGGCTCTCACCACCAGCATGCCCTTCTTCCCCCATGCCCAGCAGTGGCCCAAGGGGGTGAACGGGGGCTGGGCTGCCACGGGGAGCCGGTATGTGGCATCTTCTCTCATGGCGGTGGTACAAAAAGCCCACCTGGGCTGGGTCTTCTAGGAAGCTGCTAATGCAGCCGAGGGCAGCATCACACCCCTCAGGGGAGCCAGCCAGGCACGGTCACACTGAGCAAGCCTCCCCTTCCTGGAGATGAAGCGGCCTCCCTTGCAGGGAAGATGGGTAGTGGCCAGGAAACCAAGGCAGGGTGGTGGAGAAGGTGCTGCTCAAAAAATGCTGGACTTTCCCTCTGAAAAAGCCGCTGATGGCCCCAGGGCCCCTGTGCCACATGGTCATCTAGGTCCACACCAGGCAAAGCCAGCTGCAACCTCTTCAAACCCCGAATCCCAGCCACTAACCTTGACCCTAAATTATGTGACGTGCTCCGATTCTGGAACTCGGGGCTCCAGAATATTAAAGACCTATTTTCACTTTTAGGACTCTTGGGGCTCGGTCAGCACAAGGCATATCCATGTGGATATTTGCATCTCAGTCCCTCCCTTCCTTCCTTCCTTCCTTCCTTCCTTCCTTCCTTCCTTCCTTCCTTCCTTCCTTCCCTTCTTTCCTTCCATTGTGCCCCCTGCCCAGCTTTTAAGGGCAAAACAAAAGCCGTCCCGACTCCTGCAACCCTTCTCAGAGTTTGCTCGGCGCTGTTATCGCCCTCGGCACCAAGCGGCGCTCAGGAAAGCCGCTGCCCGCGCTCCGGATTGGGCTTCCCTGCAAACAGACCCCCTTTGGGAAGCCACCTGCCTTTGTTTGGGGCTCGGACGCGCCGGGGTTTTCAGGGGGAAAAGCTGCGGGGTGGGGGGAGGAGATGGAGGGTCCGCGCCTCTTCTGGAGGAGCGCGAGGGGCAGCAGGACCAGGGCGGGACCCGAGTCGGTGCCGGCTGTCAAACTTTCCTTCCGCCGCGCTCCTCTTCTGGGGGGGGGGACCCGGACGCCTCCCGCAGCCGGGCAAGGCTGCCCCCCTTCCCCGCCCTCCGCTCCACCTGCCGGTCTCCCCCACCCCCCCGGGACTCACATTTCGGTGAAGTTCTCCAGGCTGCGCAGCTGCGCCAGGGAGTGGATGGCGCGGGGCTCCTGGCAGAGCAGGGCGCTCAGGTAGCAGCGGCACTCCTCCAGGCAGGGCGAGGCGGCGCCGGGCGACAGGCACAGCCAGCCCAGGCACAGCAGCAGCAGTCCGGCCGAGGCGCGGAGCCGGCTTCTCCCCCCGGGCTGCATGTCGGACCCGGAGCAGCAGCAGCAGCAGCCGCTCTCCTCGGCGCCTCCCTCGGAGAGTCCCGGGTCGCGGGGGGCGCTCAGGGCATCTGCCTCTGCCCGCCGCCTCTGCCCGACTGCGGAGCACGTGTGGACGCGGCGGCGGCTCCATTCCTGGAGGGGTTTTTTTCAACCGTCGAGGGGCGGGGCTGCCTCCAGGCTCCTCCTTCCCAAACAGCCCCTCCCGCCCCGTCCCGGGGATGCGGACGGAGAGGACGGCCGGATGCTCCGAGGAAAGCGGAGAGACCGCCTCTGCCACCGACCGGCATCAGGACTGCCCGGAGACGGCGCGACCGCCTTGGCACGGGAGCCTGGCTGAGAAGGGGCCGGCAAGGGCGGGCGCGCCAGTCCCGGGGAGGACAAGCCAGCCGATCCATGGATCAAACCCCTTTAAATAACCGATCAAGTAAACCATGGCATGCAGCCACGTCGGGGAAGGGGCCACGGAGCACCCTCTCCTTGCTACCACTCCTAGAGGGACCCTCCACGTTCCTGGGCCCCGTGGCCTGGTGGCCCTCCACCCACAGACATGGGGGGCTGTTATGCCACTGCCACGTCAAGATGTTTGAGTTGCCAAACCAGTGGGCGACGCTGCCCTCGTTAGGCTTCATTTCCCCGGCTTGCGTTCAACCCCAGGGCTAAATCCGTCTTCTAGGAAACAATGCCCCTGACCACGTGCAGAGGGCACCGCAAAGGAAAACAGGAGCCCCCAGAGATCTTGGCAAGCCCCCAGAGATCTTTTAGAGCGGTGTTTCTTAACCTTGGCCACTTTTAAGAAGTGTGGGCTTCCACTCCCAGGGACTCCTGTCTCAAAAGACCCTGGAAAATGCTCAGTCTTCTTAGCATGCGGGAGAAACTTCGTTTTTCTCTGACCAGAATGCAGTTTTTTTTCTGGGAAGAGGGACACACCCCTCCGCTCAATATTGTGAGCTGGGGATAGGGGATGCAACCCATTGGGAGCAGATGCCGGGGGTGCGGGTGGGGGCTGCAGGAAAAAAAAAAGCCACTGCCCGTTGTGAGGACGAAGTCTTCCCACTTCGCAATTCAAGCATGGGTAGGCTGAGCCTTCGGCGTCGCCATAAATCTTGATTCTCCCGCTGCTAATTTGTTTTGACAGAGAGATTTTGACAGACTTAAAGTACATCTCCCCCCCCCCGCTTCCTCTCCTCCCCCCTCCCCCGTTGCATTTGGGCGCGATGTAGAAAAATCAAGTTAGCAACAGCACTTCGAAGGCATTAATTGCTTTGATGGCAACAGCTTCTGGGACCGAGAGCGGCACCCAGGGCCAATTCTCCTCCGATTAAACCCGGGAAAAAGGAGAGCGCCCGCGAGTCAGGAGCTGTCCAGCAGACCAGGATCCGGACTATTTTATTTTAAAGAACCCCGAGTCACGGAAAAGAGGAAAAGCAAAAAAGTTTGGCGGGACCGTCGGGGATCTTATTGCACGCCTCGGGGACCAAGACACCTGAAGCCAGCGATAAAATTCTTTTCCCACTCGTTGCAAGGGGGAACGGGAAGCAACTTTTTGGGAAACCTAGTAAAAAGCCTAACGCAAAGACGGCGTTTGCATTTTATTTAAGACGTTCTAGACCCCGAGGACGGTGTTGCTTTCTGTTCGAGGGGAGGGGGGATTTGCTGAGGAGCCGCCCTTGCTGGACGGACCACGAGGACGACCCCCCCTCCTGGCACTGGGTTTGCGGAACTCGCGGCCACCACGCGAGTTCCACCCAAAGGGAAAAGATCTCGGGAGCGACGAAACCGGTCAGAACCGAAGCCGCCTTTCCTCCTTTTTCCTCCCGACTGGACCGATCCCACTTGCGGGAGCCCCCTCCCCCAAAATTGCATCTTCGTTGCGGAGGGGCGACGGCTGAGGAGCAGCCAACTCAGACATCGCTCTCTGGCGGCGGTTGCAGAAGCAGAAGCGAAGGGGAGGCGGAAATGGGGGGGGGACGCCTCGGAGCGCAGCCCCGCCGGGGGGGGGGGAGTTGGGGATCAAACGCGCGCGGCAGCCGCCCTCCGCTCCCTTCGGACGCAGGCGCGGATTTATGCTCTGCACAATTACGCCTTTGACGATTCCTTGATGATGATGATGATGATGATGATGATGATGATGATGATGATGATGATTTATTTATTTATTTATTTTATTGAACTTATATGCCGCCCTTCTCCCAACAGGACTCAGGGCGGCTTACAGCATATTAAAACGATACAAACACTATCCCCAATAAAAACCAATTAAAAACAAATATTTACCGCTGTGTTACCATTAAAATTCTAATTAAAATTGTCCCTATTTAAAATTCTCCCTAGGCCAGACCCGCNGCAGCCCCGCCGGGGGGGGGGAGTTGGGGATCAAACGCGCGCGGCAGCCACCCTCCGCTCCCTTCGGACGCAGGCGCACAATTACGCCTTTGACGATTCCTTGATGATGATGATGATGATGATGATGATGATGATGATTATTATTATTATTTAAATTTATATACCGCCCTATCTCCCTTACTGGACTCAGGGCGGTGAACAGGCAATAATAAAAATCACAGTAAATATTACATAAAAGCCTGCTCTAAAATATAAAACCCCTAACAAAACCCAATCAAAACTACGCCAGGCCGGCCGCACGGGACAGATGAGTTCCTTTACGGACGCCGCTCGCCTTCCACGCGGGCAAAAATCGGTTGCTCCCGCAAGGGGGGGGGCGTCCCGGGGCTTTCCGGGTGGTCTCCCATCCAGCTCAGCAGCCGCTCTCTCGCTCTCGCTCTCTCCCCCCCTCCCCGCGCGGGAAAAAAGGAATTCTGCGCCTGCGCCTGTGCCCGCGCCTGCGCGGCGGTCGGTCGGTCGCGCGGGAGGCGGGGCGCGCGTGCGTGCGCGCGCCTGCGCAGTGTCGCCCGCCCTGAGCGGCGTTGCTGGTGCGACCGAAGGGGAGGGAAGATGGCGGCCGGCGGCAAGGCCTCCTCCTCCGCCTCCTCTTCCTCCTCCTCCTCCTCTTCCTCGGCCTCGGCCGCGTCGTCGTCCGGCACGGCGGCCTTCTCTGCGCCGGCCTCCTCGTCGCCGCCCGCCTCGTCGGGGCTGGAGGCGTCGCTGGACAGGAAGCTGCAGGCGGTGACCAACACCATGGAGTCCATCCAGGGCCTCTCCTCCTGGTGCCTGGAGAACAAGCGACACCACGCCGCCATCGCCCGGCGCTGGATCCACTGGATGCGCCGCTGTGAGCGACCCTCCCGGGCGGCGGGGGGAGAGGGGGGGAGAGGTGGGGGGGGCGGAGAGGAGAAGGATGGGGGGCGGGCCAGGGCCGGGCAGTCCTCCCCGCGGTCCGCCGTGAGGGTCTGGGGTCGGCTCCGGTCGGGTGGGGCGGGGGAGGAGGAGGAGGAGGAGGGGGCGCCTTCCGGGAGGGGAGCATGGGCCCGGGAACCCGGTTTGGAGGGCCCCGGCCGAGGGGTAGGCAGTTCTCCCCGCGGTCCGCCCCTGGCCGTTAGGGGCGGGGGGGGGGGCCGCAGGAGCTGCTGGCCGAGGGGGTCGCCTCTGGCCGGGCAGGAGGGGGCTTCGCCTGGCGCTTGTCCGGCGGCAACGGGGGTCCTGGAGGATGCGCCCCTGCCTGGGTCGGCGGGGACGGGGCGAGGGGTCCCCCCCCNGGGTGGGCCGGTGCCAGGGGTCCCCAGGTGCCCTGGAAGGCCTGCGGGGGGGGGCATCGCCCGGAGAGCTGAACTGGACCAAAGTTTGATTGACAGCTTTGGCCTGGGTGATTGAGCCTCCATTGACCAAGCCTTGTTACCCCCGTAGAAGTCTTACTGATAATTACGTGTCATTTGTGCATGTATGTTTACCTCTCTTCTGTCGTGTCCTCAGCATATGCTAAATAATAATAATTTGCATTTGAAACCGTTTCTGGGTCTGGCGCGCCGGGTGCAAGCAGGGCCGGGCACGCGCCCTGCAACCCTGCAGAGGAGGGCCGGATGGAAGGGGCCGTCTGCCGCTTGGCTTGGGACCGTGCCCAGGTGCCAACCCGTTTCTCGGAGGAGCTAATGGAAATGCTCCACTTTTGTGATGTGTCAGGCAGCGCGGTCTCTGTTTCTCTTCAGGGCTGATTTTTTCCGAACAGAAAATAATGAGGAGGACGTATGGTCAACAATAAACCCATAAATGTGGCTAGATTGCTAAAAAGGTTGGGGATCATTTTCCTGGTGGTGAGCTCTTCCTCTCACAGGTGGCTGGACAAGGGGCACTTGCAACGTTATAGGAAATATTTGGCTGATTAAGAGTCTTATTTCCACTTTGTTGGGGACATTCCTCGTCTTTCCAAAACCCTTGGCCCACGTGAGATTCTTTTTTTTTTTTTTTAAAGAAAAATTGATGTGTTTTTGTAAAGACTGTAACCATTGCTGTAAACACGCAGGTGGGTCAAGGTCTAAAGTCTGTCTGTCGGAGTGGTATTCCTGAATAATCTGTTCCAGCCTGCTCCCCTTAATCCTTGCTGGGAGTGTGACTCGCCAGATGCCAGAAACACATCTGGAGGGTGGCAGGTGTGGAAGGCGGATTGAGATGGACAGCAAGGTGTTTCAGTGTTTGGAGAGAGGACAAAAGGCATTTTATGGAGGAGCATTAAAAAATATGCAAATCTGGGTTGTGAATGGAATAGCACTGCTGGTGTCAACAGTTCCTGGCCATTGCATCTTTTTTTGTGTTGCGTGGATTAGTTTCTGAATGGGTGCCTGATCCCACGGGCTGTTAGTCCTCTCCTCTCCCCTCCCCACACTTCTAAATTCACTTGATTTCTCTCACAAGACAGAGAGTGAATTTCCTGAGTAAAAAGAGATGCTGTATCTACTCTTGTTTTCTGAACTGTGAATCCAAAAGTTGGATTTACACACGTATGCTTTCTCTGAATATCTGAATGTTGGGAACGGCCTTGTTTCTAAGACTTTCTAAGAATTTGTGGGATCTGGAGACCGGCATGAACTTGTACCTGTGAATTGGGCATTTGCTTGAAATATCACCTAACGGTTAAAATCTTGAAGGGCAATGAAATGTTTGCCTCAGCCACGGCCCTGAGGGAACATCACCATCTGCAGCACAATTAGTAATCTCATTAATTTCTCTCGGATTTCCATCCAAGACTTAGAATCAAGGTTGTAAAAATTATCTGTCTCCATTTTCTAAAAATGTTAAATTGTTACCACAGGCTAAAGGTTTTTGTTTCCCACTCACGTTACTGACTATCATAAGGAGAACATGGCAAAAAAGCTGGTGTGAAAACTTTGTGGTGCAGTTGAAAAAACCCATATTCATGGTTTAGAGTCTCTAGACACTGGGGTAGGAGCGGCATACAGGCTGCCCGTAGAAACAAATAATTTACTGTTCCAACATTTTAATTTACATGCTCCAAGTTAAGGCAGTTCTTGGGTTAAACTCTCAGAGAGAGATATGTTTATGGAGTTAAAAGAACAGAGTGAAGGCTTTTCGGTAAGATGGAAGAAAGCAACATTGGCTAGTCTGGCAGTTCAGGATTGGTGCGAAAGCCGCCTCTGGACTTGTTTTCTATGGGTGTAGAATGGGGCTGTTCCGGCCGTGGCATTTCAGTGGGGAAGAATATCTTTCCCCTACAATGGCTGTGGGGTGCCCCAAAGTTTTGGGCCCACCTAAACCAGCCCCTGAAAAGAATGTCCCTTCTCAAGAGCAGAGCTGGCTAGAAGCAAAGCTTTCCCTGGTCACTTCAGGGGGTGCTGAGTTAGGCCCCTGTGGGAAGCACAGCGCCGGGTCTGACTTCTGGCTGACGCTCAGTTGCTGGCTCTTGAATGGACAGAAATGCTGTGGTTGTGTGTTGTGGTCGCCCCTTTGTTGTACCTTTTTATATTGGTGGGGTGGGGAATTCTGGGAGTCGAACCGCACATGTCTTGAAGTTGCCACGGTTGAGAAACACTGCCTTGCGACGTTGTTTTTCGGAGCGTCCTTGCAAGTCGGAGGGAGCGGACGAGGTTGGAGCCGTCTGCTGCAGCAGAAGCGTTGAGGCTTTGGAGCAGATTGGCCTTGGGTGGCAGGAAGGGGTCTCCAGACAGGGGTCTCTGCAGTTGGAACCCTCTGAGATGTTTAGGGGAGGAGGGGGGTCTCGCACCAAAACCCTCACCGGGTCCGTTTTGCACGGATTTGTCCTTGCACGATTATGGTAGGAATTCCCGAGACAATCTGTGCAAACTGCACTTTGAAATGGCAGGAGAAGGAATGGCTGTAAACATCTCTCTGAAGGGCACATCGGCGATTTGCTGTTTCTCCTACCGGTATACGGTTGATACGTTGATTGTGTCATTGTTTATTTAAAGATTTTCTTCATCCCAAAAAATGATGCTTGAGTAGTTTGCAAAAGAGCGATTAGATAGTTCCTACCCTCAAAAGACGCAACACCCAAAGAAAATGGGCTGTTGTTTTTTGTTTTTAAGTAAGTTGTTGGTTTCACACCAGCTCCCTTTGCGGCTTTTGGTCATACCTTGGCCCTTCTATACACAACTTCCATTTGTTGCAGGAACACGCAGTTGGGAATCCTGACAGCCAGCTGAATAGCTGAGGGTCAACGCTGGCTGACCAAGCCTCACGCTGATTTGTGTGTTCTCCCTCTCTAAGGGTGGGATGGGTCCCCCTGTGCCTGGAGGGCACCAGTTTGGGACTCAGCACCACAGGGCCTTTGCTGTGGGTCCCTCTTTGTTCATACCTCTGGCAAGAGAAGTCAGCTGAGCAGGATGGCTGGTCCAGCTGCCTTTTGAGCCCAACAGGGATTGAAATAATTCATCCTGTGGTAATCCAGGAAGGGAAGGTGGGCAGGTAGTCTGCCAGGGCAGCGGCCCAGGGCTAGTGAGGTGGTCCTCGGTTTGCCAGGGGGTTTGGCCCCTGCAGCCCGGCAAAGAGAATGCCTTTCCTGCCCCAGATGAGGGACGGCTGACGGTGGAGGGTCAGCTTCTGGGAGGGAAAACTTTGGTGGTCCCTTGTGACGGCGACCAGACGCTCTTTCCTTTCCTGGCCCAGGGCGACAGCCGATGCTTTTGCAAATCTTCAGCACCCCGGAGACGGTGCTCGGCTAGGTCACTCCGCAGATCTGAGTCTCCCTGGCTGGCAAAAATCCAGATTTTTGGAATTTTGCCCACAGGTGTAAAATAGTAAGGCAGCTCATCCCTTAACTTGGGAGGAGAAAATATGTGCCTCAGAAGCAATTGTGTGCTCAGTGTACTGGAGGGTTACTGTGACTGCGCCGGTGTGACCTTTAAGCTGTGAGAAGCATCAGGGCTCGGCGCAAAGGAGAGACCGTTTCCTTGGGATTCTTTCTCGCTGGTCATGAGCGAAGGAGCCCCAGGCTCTTCTCGTCCCTCTGCCCCACAGAGGTCCTGCTTGCTGAATGAGGTCTTAGATTTAACCGTAACCCAGCCTCAATTATTAAAAGGAGCCTCGGCTCAGCCCCTTCCTAGGCCTGGGCATCAGGTTCCCGGACCTCTGGCTGGCATCTTTGCAAAAGGGAGTGGCCTTAATTTGCTCTCTCTCTCTCTGTGTGTGAGTGAGTGAGTTTGCACACACACGTATACATTTGAGTGGAGAAGGGAAAGTTTGGAGGCTGTTTCTCTCTTAATTAGGCGGGACAGGCTGGTGAAATGAGCTGAACCAGGAAGATCCACCAGCTTCAGCCTTCCCTGCCCCACAGCTGACTCTCAGACCCCAAAGGTTTGCGTGTTTTGTCCCTCAGGACTCGAACCGGCCCCCTCTGCCCCTGGAGCAGATTAAGCAGGCGGGGAGAACGGTTTTTTTGTCCCATTTTTCTTTGTTTCTAAACGGGCCTTTGGACTTGCAGAAGCCGAATTCCATCCCTGCTTTGCCTTCGAATGCCTGGTGCTGGTGCTGGATGAGGCCACCGGGAGCCGAGGGGAGCGCTCCCCTCGGGCCCACGTGCCCGCTCAGCCCTCTGCACAAAGTCTCTGGCTTCGCTAGGGCGCTCCTCGTGCCGGCTGGGAACAATGGGTGTTGTTATCCCACAGCTCCGGCAGCCGGAAGAGAGCTAGTATGTAGGCCGGTAGGAAAAGCTGGCCCTGCAGATCTTGGGGCAGTGTGCCAGCCAGCTGCTTTAATTGGTCCCAATAATTATGCTCTTGCTAATTGGAGGATAGATGTGGGATGGATTGTGGTGTAAGATTTGTCAGATAATAGCCAAGTAATCTCAGGGCTTCCCGTCTGAGGAGTCACAGCGGTGCAAATGGCAACCACTCAGGCTGGGGTGGTTTGGAAAGGGAAGAGGGGTGCTTGAGGCCCCTTGTTGGGGTGGGGTCATGGGTGATCCAAAGGTTCACCACCACTCCTGGGGTGGGAGGGAGCCAGGCAGGTAAAATGTCCAGCCCACCCTCCTTCCCAAGAAAAGCAGAGGGGCTGGGGGTGCAAGGGCTTCCACGTCCAGGGGTGGCATTGCCTGATGCCAGCAGCCACCTGAGCCCCACAGAGCATCCCAAGTAAAGAGAAGCCGCCCTGGGAATCTGCAGGCGGGGTGTGTGTGTGTGTGTGTGTGTGTGTGTGTGTGTCTTTTGAAGAAGAAACAGCAGCACTGTTTTTTTTTTTAATGGGCCCATTTAAAAGCTAGATCCCCCTGCAGAAATTGCAGCTGGGAAGAACAGCTGCAAGAGTAATAAAAAGGGGGGAAACGGCAGGGTTGAGAGTTAAACACGATCGCTCGCCCGCCAGGGTTTCCTGCACCGATGACCGTCCTCTTTTTTTCCTCTGCTTCCAGCTGGCTTCGCTCACCGACTGAACCTCTTCTACTTGGCCAACGACGTCATACAGAACTGCAAAAGAAAAAACGCCATCATCTTTCGCGACACCTTTGCCGAAGTGCTGCCGGAAGCCGCTGCGTTGGTGAAGTAAGTGAAGGCTTTTTTTTTTTTTTTTTTTTGCAGCCGCTTCTCCTGCTCCTTCCGACCCCGGTGGCTGCTCTGCAGGTTTGTTCGAACAGGGAGCTGCTGGGCCAGGTGCCCAAGGGACGGGAGTTGCTGTTTGAGAGGCATATTTGGACTTGACCAGAACCCCCCTGCATCTTAAGAAGCTGCAGTTGTCTTTAGAAAGCTGCAAAGCTTTGGTTTAACTCTAGTTTATGGGTCAACAATGCCAGATACTTGTTTCTTTTGGGTCTTATTGCCAAGGGCTACAATTCTCTCTCTCTCTCTCTCCGGTGATCCTCTCCAAACTCACATGCTAACTGGAGGTGAGGTGAGAAAGGTGGGAGCCTGGGAGCCTTCCGGCTAAGTCAGAGATAAAGTTTTAAAACTTGTGTCAGAAACAGCTCAGAGGCTCTTAACTTGGAAGTACGACAAGGATGCTCTGCGAAGGTGATTCCCTGGTTGGTGGAACTAAACTGCAGGTGGCAGGGGTCAGCCTCTTCCTTCTGCTGCCCTGCCTGGAGGCCGTGCTCAGCTGGATCTCCTGGGGGTGGTGAGAGGATCCTCTGTGGCTAAGCCCTTCCTGGCTCTTGACTGTGACTGTGAAGAAATGCCCCACTAAGACTCTGGGTAGTTCTTAGTTTAAGGAAGGTTCCCAAGAAAAGAGCATCGTGTTTCTAAACAGCTTGCTAATTCTCTTCTCCTTGATTACTTCCGGTGACTGACTTTCTTTGGGTCCTGCTGCCTCTGCTTTCTGCCTCTTTGGAGAGTTACGTGTGTGAAATATTCTAGGGCAATATTTGGCTTTTCTCCGGGAAGATGCCTATACTTTGATTGCGTAATTTTTGGCCTCCTGTTGACCCACAATGCTTTCACTGACTCCAAAAACCTCTTCTGGGGTGGCTAGCTGTGCTGACCAAAATCTGGGGCCGCCTGGTTTGGGGAACACTCTTGTCAAGCAGTGTTTCTCAACCGTGGCAACTCTTAAGGCAGACTAGGCAGCCTGTGGCCGCTCTGGGGAGGACATTTTTGAAGAAGTAACTGTCTCTCACTCCTCACCATCCACTGAGGTTTGAAACGGCCGGTGAGACGATTGTTTAAGGAACAAGCTTTGGCTGGAATTGCTCGTCCAGGGCCCTGTGCGCATTCCTCTACAGAATCTGGGCCCCTGTGGGAGAGTTTCTGCTTGGTTGTGAAATTCTCTGTCTGGTTGGGAAAATCTCAGTTTGCCTGTGCCTTCCAGAGGCATCCAAAGATAAATCCCTGCAGTCGGGGGACAGTACTGTGAAATTCAAATATTTTTAGGAAGGTAGTGTTTCAGTAGCCTCTTTTTGATTGTTTCCTTGCTCTGAGATTTAAAGAAAGCCACCCTCAGATCAGAGCCTCTGTGTTGGGCATTTCTTTTCCTTCTGTTATGTTACTGATAAGGTCCCCCTTGTTTTAATCTGGACCCTTGGCAGAATCTGAGTGGATTTCAGTCCGAAGGTGGAATCGCTCTTGGGGAAAAAACAGCCGTCTCTTTGGGTTCCTGCATAAGTGGAAGGGAAGCGAGGCGCGCAAACTCAGCCAGCCTTTTCTCTCTTGCTTGTAGCGATCCCTCCGTCTCCAAGTCTATAGAGAGGATTTTCAAAATATGGGAAGACAGAAATGTGTATCCAGAGGAAACCGTTACCGTTCTAAAAGAAGCTTTAAGTAAGTTCCCCTACATTTCCCTATTTTCTGGGCCTGTTGCAGTTTTGTCCGTGTGTACACACAACCAGACAGACTGAGTTAGGGAGGCCGGGCGTCGAGGCAAACAGGAGGAAGAAAGCTCAAAATTCTTATCTTCTTGCATCTGCTTCGTCCTTAATATTTATCCTCTTCTGTGTCCTGAAATAGTTGAAAACCGCATTTATTCTGGTTCTCCTCCTAGCCCTTTCTCCATTTGTGTTTTGGAGGGGAGACACTGGGAATTTTGGATATTTCAGCGTTTCCTTCCCTTTTTACTGTTGTCCTCCATCTATAGTCATGTGGGCAGCAGCTCATGAAGTTATTAAAGCAGAAGGGTCTCCCTGGAACTGGGGGCGCCCTTCCAGGTAGTTTCCGCTGGCCCCGTTTCCGGCGAGACGCCCCAGAGTACAGAACGCAAAACAATGTTTTCCAGGTTCCACTTTCAAATCCCAGAAGCAGCCGAAAGAAACTCCGAGCAAACAGCCAACTAAGTCTTGGAAGAAATCTCAAAGTAAGGAAATCGCACACATGAAGGGTCTGAATGTGGTGGCCGGCGGCCTCCTGGCAGAGGGGCCTAGGATGGCCCCTCTAGAAGCTTCCAGGGGGCGCACCCCCCCTTCCCGCCCCCCATTTGGCAACCTCGGGAGAACAGCTCCTCCGATTAGCCTTTGCCGGCTGCAAGCCACTCCCCCAGCCAGCCGTGCTTCCGTGTCCAGCCGCGGCAGGCTAGGAGGAGAGGAAGGCCCACGGCAGGCGGGGGAGGCCTCTGCTCCTCGCCCTAAGACGGCGGTCAGGATGGGCTGCCGAGGAAGCCGCTTAGCGCCGGTCGGAAGCTCACGTTCCCCCCCGAAGGAGCGATGAATCTCCTCAGCCAGCACTTTAGCTCGCCTTCCCGAAAGCAACGCTGGGCCCCCCACCCAGTGCCTGCCTCAACCCTGCGGGCAGAACAATCCCTTCGCCGCCGCCCCCTTGAGGGGAGGCCAGGGTCGCCTCCCGGGACGAAGAAGAGGAGTGGGCCGACGAGGCGGAAGCGCTGGGGACAGTCTCTAAACGAGACGCTTCTCCTTTCCTCTTGCAGCCTCTACCAACCCGAAGGCGGCATTAAAGTCCAAGATTGTGGCCGAGTTTCGGGTAAGGCCAGGAACGAAGCGGTTTGCTCCGCTCGCTTGGAGAATCGGGCGGTGGGAGGTTGGTGGGATGGCGCAGAGAGGAGGGGAGCTCCAGCCGAGCCTCTTCCTTCTCCGGGAAAACCTCACCTCCCCTGCTGCCCGCAGTCAAGGTGGGACGTTGGTTCAGCCCTCACAGGAGGGGCCGGCCCTGTCCTGCCGCCCCCCTCCCCGGTGCTGAGCCTCCAGTGGGCTGGTCGGCATGGGCTCAACCGGCTCTCGGTTCCCCTCCCGCAGCCGCAGTCGCTGGTGGATGAGCTCCTCTCCCACAAGCACTCGGAAGACCAGATCGAGCTGAAGGAGAAGCAGCTGTCCACCATGCGGGTGGACGTCTGCAGCACCGAGACCCTGAAATGCTTGAAAGGTGAGTTGACCAAAGTGGAGCGATGCGCCAGGCCCTCCGCCGTCATCTGGCCTTGGGGGGGGTGGCAGCCTCCCCCAGAGGCCTGGTTTGCATCTTGCGCCCTGTGGCTTAATTCAGCCATTGTAGCTTTCGCCCCAAATGCGCTTGTCTCACCCCTTCAGACAAGACTGGAGGGAAGAAGTTCTCCAAGGAGTTTGAGGAGGCCAGCGCCAAGCTGGAGGAGTTCGTGAACAGCCTGGACAAGCAGGTGAAGGACGGCCCTTCGCTGACGGAAGTGCTGGAGAACGCGGGCATCTTCTACGAAGCCCAGTACAAGGAGGTCAAGGTGGTGGCCAATGTGAGTGTACGGGAACACACAAACACCGCCCACACACACACACACCGCATCTGGCTCGGCCCTTGGGGGGCGGGAGAAAGGTCTGTCGGGGTTCCTCCTCTTCCATCAGGCTAGCGGCGAAAGCGGACCCGAACAGCCGGCCTTCCTGTGCAGCTGGAGAGGTTGTGGTTGTGTGCCTGCTTTGGGCCCTCTTCCTCCCGGTTGCCGGTTCAGGTGGCTCCGTTCCCCGCTTAGCCCCGGTCTCTTTGCCCGCCGTGGCGAGAGGAGGGCGGCCTGGCGTCTTGCTGACTCTCCTCTGCTTTCCTCTGCCAGGCTTACAAGACCTTCGCCAACCGAGTGAGCAATCTCAAGAAGAAACTGGACCAGCTGAAGGCCACCCTCCCTGACCCCGAGGAGTCGCCCGTCCCCTCGCCGAGCATGGACGCCCCCTCTCCCACGGGCTCCGAGTCCCCGTTCCCGGGGATGGGGGAAGAAGACGCCACCCCCTCACCCAAGGCGGCAGTGACGGCGGCGGCAGCGGTGGTGAAGTCTCCCTCCCCGGAGCTCGCCACAGACAATCGGGACGTGGAGGACATGGAGCTCTCCGATGTGGAAGAGGAGGCCCCCAAAATTATCGGTAGGGTCCCCGGAGTGGGAGGAGTCGGGTGGGAATTGGGGCTGCTTGAGGGGCAGGGGTCCCCCACTGAAGGCACAAGGTGGAGGTTGTGAATGGAGAGCAACTAAGGCTCTCCCAGGTTTGGTCTTTCCAGCTGCAAAACATCTGCCTGCTTCAGTGTCCCAGAGCCACACGGGTGTGGAGGGGGGGGAGGCGTATTGTCTCTGGCAAGGAGGTGCTTTATGGATCGGTTGCCGCTTTCTCCCACCCTGGACCCCAGCCCTGCACGGTCCCTTTCGGCCCACCCTCTTAACTGGCTCCCCACTGCTGCCGGGGGGTGGGGGGCGGGTTTTGATTGGCAGGCTGCCAGGCAAGGCTTAACGGCTGCCTTTGGGGTCTTCTGAATTAGTGGAAGAGAGAAAAGAGAAACCAGCGGCCTCAAGTCCGAACCCCGCCAAGATGGCTGAGAGCGTCCCCAGGGCTTCCCCGCTGACGGCGGCCGCCCCAGCGGCTGCTGCCGCCACCACCTCTGGAGCGCCCCCGGCAGCTGCACCCGTGCTGGCACCCCCTGCCGTCACTCCTCCGGCCCCCAAGCCGTCGAGCCAAGCCCCTCTTCCTTCGTCGCCAGCTCTGGGGTTGCCAAACCTAGCCAACGTGGACCTGGCCAAGATCAGCTCCATCCTCAGCAGTCTGACGTCCGTCATGAAGAACACAGGTGAGCGAGCGTTAGCAGCCGGGTGGGGGGGACGCTGGGGGTCCCCAGGCAGTTGTCTGGATGGAGACGGGCGCTGCTTCGGATGGAAAGAGCCGGCCCGTGGCTTCGAAACGGCTCACCTCTGCCCCCGTCTCTCCCTCCAGGGGTCAGTCCTGCCTCCAGACCTTCCCCCAGCACCCCGACTAGCCCCACCGGCCTCATGGGTGGCTTGAAGGCTCCGGCCACGGGACCCCTGGCGGCCTCGCCCAGCCCCCTGGCCAGCATCTTCTCCAAAGTGGAGATCACCCCAGAGAGCATCCTGTCCGCACTCTCCAAGAGCCAGGCCCAGGCTGCCCCGGGCCTGCAAGGTGAGCTGTCGCCCCGCCAGAGCCGGCTCCAGAGGGGGCCGGCGAGTTCCTTCCCCAGGGAGCCCCAGTTTTGCTCTGGGGGTCTCTCTGTGCGTGATTAAAAAAGGGCCACACGGGGCCAATCGCCACCCTTCCCCCTGGTCACGTGAGTGACGGCATTTAGTTCTGGCTTTCAGCAAAACTGTCCCCTCCTGAATCGTTTTACGGCTGTGGTGGGCAGAGGCCATTACGTCTGTCATAAATTGAGGACTGCCCGTATTACTTTGGTGTTTAAATATCGGATTAACACGCTTCTCTTCTGCCTCAGGTTTGTCCTCGTTCCTTCAGAGCGTTGCTGGAAATTCGGGGCAGCCCAGCGAGACGGCGCCCCAGAGCAGCTCCCCGGCCCCCACGAACACCCCGGCGGCCTCCGGGAAGGGGAGGGCTGTGTTGTCCACCACGCAGCCCTTCATGCCACACAGCCTCAGCTATTCTCCGAACTCCTCCTCCTCTTCGGCCGAGGTTTCTTCCACCTCGGTCCACAAGATGCCCTCTGGACACGGCCCCGGGCTCTCCGGGCCCAGCTTCAAGCCCCCCATCAACTCCCTGGGCTTTGCCAGCGCCCAGGCCCCCAGCCCCTCCCTCCGGCCCGTGGAGACCCCGACCCCTCAGTCGTCGGAGGTCTCGGAGACCAAGGTGGAGCCGGAGCCAACTTCGCCCAGCCTGGAGATGAAGATCCACAACTTCCTGAAGGGGAATCCGGGGTTCAGCGGCCTGAACCTGAACATCCCCATCCTGAGCGGTTTGGGCTCCTCCGGCCTGCCGCCCGAGAGCCACCCCTCCTCCTCCCCGGATTTCGGCCGGGGGCCCACCAGCACTTCGATGGACAGCATAGACGGCACTCCGGTGCGTGACGAGCGGAGCGGGACGCCCACACAGGACGAGATGATGGACAAGCCGTCCTCCAGCAACGTGGACACCATGTCGCTGCTGTCGAAGATCATCAGCCCCGGCTCCTCCACGCCCAGCAGTACCCGGTCGCCCCTCCAGAGCCGGGACGACGGCTACCCGCAGGAGCTGCCCAACTCCGGCTACCGGCCTTTTGGGCTGAGCCGGGACTCCCCGGCCGGGATGTACAAGCCGCCCCCGGAGGGGCTGGAGCTGCCCTCCTCGCTGATGGACTCCCCCCAGGAGAAGTTCTACCCCGACACCTCCTTCCAGGAGGACGAAGACTACCGCGACTTCGACTACCCCGGCCCTCCACCCTCCGCCCTGATGAACCTGGAGAAGCAGCCGGCCAAGTCCATCCTCAAGTCGGGGAAGCTGTGCGACCCTTCGGAATACCCAGCGGGGATGTCCGGCTACCGGCAGAGGCCCTCGGGGTTCGGCCTGAAGGCCCCTTTCGGCCAGCCCGGGCGGCCTCTCCACGACCAGAGCGACGGCTGCGACCCCCTGCCCTCCTCGGGAATCTACGGCAGCTACGGCCTGCGGGGAAACGACTCCGGCTCGGACGCCTCCCCCACGCCCAGCAAGAACGACGCCTTCTTCCCGCCGGATTCCAACCACAGCAGCCTGCCTCCGTCCGGGCAGCAGCCGCACTCGGGGCTGCTGCAGAAGCCGTACCCCGACTCCCCCCACGTGGCTCCCCAGAGGTCCCTTTTCTCGCCCCAGAATGCCCTCGTGAGCCCCACCGGCCGGCTGCCCCCCTCGAACGCGGAGAAGTCTATCCTCTCGGCCATCTCGGCCACCTCCACCATGGAGTTCAAGAATATGCTTAAAAACGCCTCCCGGAAGCCCTCCGAGGAGGGCAAGCACTTCGGCCAGGGGCCCAAAGGGGGCGCCAGCGACCTCCCCGGCCTTTCTCCGGGAGGGGGGGACCCGCAGAAGCAGCCGGAGGAGCACTTCCGGATCGAGACCAGGGTCTCCTCCTCTTGCTTAGACCTGCCCGACAGCACCGAGGAGAAGGGGGCGCCCATCGAGACGTTGGGCTACCACAACGCGGCCGTCCGGGGGATGTCCGGGGAGCCCATCCAGACGGTGGAATCCATCCGCCTGCTGGGGAAGGGCGGCCGAGGGCACGGGCGAGAGGCCTCCCGCGCAGGCTGGTTCGAGATGAGCGGTGCAGGCAGCTCCTTCGACCGCGGCCCCTCGGGCACGACGGAGATGCCCCCCCTGGGGTCTGGCGGGGGCGCTGGGGGCGTGTCGAGTTTCCAGAGCCAGTACAAGGACCGGCTGGGCTCGTTCCAGGAAAGCGTCGGCAACTTCCGAGCCGGGGGCTTCGCCGCCCCCTTTGACCGCCACGTCCCACCGCCCCCCTTGGAGCACGGGGCTTCCTTCCCCAGAGACCAGCTGGGGCCACCCCCCTCGGGCCCTCAGCCGCTTCCGCCCAAGGAGCTCAGCACCCTCTTCGCGAGGGACCACTCGGTGCCCCCGCCACGGATGCCGGCGGTGGATCGCGCCAGCCCCTTCTCGAAGGAGGCCTCCTCCCCGCTGACCTTGCCTCGCGGGGTGCCTCCTCCCCCGCCCCCGCCTCTCGAACGGAGTGGGGTGCCGTTCCCCTCCCAGCCGCCCCCTCCTCTCCCGGTGGAACACGGGGGGGTCCGTCCGTTCTCTAACCCTCCGCCCACTCCCGGAGACCTCGGCCTCCCCTTCCCGGCTCCCCCCATGGCCTCCGAGCACGGGGCCCTGCACCAAGGAACGATGAAGGAGCGTTTTAGCCTGCCGCCAGGAGCCCCCCGGGATCCGGGGGCCCAACCTCAGTGCGATCACAGCGGTCAGCCCCTCGGCCGGGCTCGAGACGGCCTGGGCATAGCCGCCCTTGCCCGAGACGGCCTGGGCTCCGGCCTCTCCGTGGGCTCCTCGGTGTCCGCTCAGCGGAACGGCACAAACCGAGGTGGGCTGGGGCTGAGGAACCAGCGGCCGGATTTTAGGCCCCGGGAATTCTTCTTAAACCGAGACCCCTTTAACAGCCTGAAAAGGCCCCGGCCCCCCTTCGCCCGGGGCCCCCCCTTCTTCGTCCCCAAACGCCCCTTCTTCCCTCCCAGGTACTGAGCGAAGGTGCGTCCGAACTCTCTCGAGCCGTGCAGGAGGCGTTTCCTTCCCCCCCCTCTCTCACTTCGGCCCCCTGCCCAGACCGAACGGGCCCCGTGGCTGGAGGGAGGCCCTCTGCCACGATATATATATATATAGATATATATATAGATATATATTTTGTTCTGTTCGTTTCTTGACTTTCTTTTCCTCCGTGATTGGCCTCCGTAGAGGGGGAAGGAAGCTTGCCTTTTTGTTTTTTTTTTTCTTCCTGCAAAAGTAATTTTAAAAGTTAAAAGTGGTTGTTGAAAATAAAAGCTTTCCAAAGTGACTAAATAAAATTAAAATTGGGATTTCTTTTCAAAATTGGAGCTCCTAAACAGAAAGTGGGATTTAAGCAAGGGTCCCGCTCTGTAAATGTTCAAGTAAGCAGGAAGGGAGGAGCCCTCCCCCCCAATCCCCTCACGCCCCTTCTCTCATCCTGCCTCCGTTTCCCTCTTGTTGGTTCTGCTGCTGCTGCTGTTAATTTTGCCCCCCCCCCTCGTCTTCGCTGGGGCCATTGCAGGAGGCTCTGCCCATCTCTCTCTCTCTCTCTCTCTCTCTCCAGCTAATCTTTCTTTTTTTTTGCAGTCTTTTAGGTTTTTAAGCGTTCTCACGCACGTCTCTGGTCACTGAGGAGCAGAATTCTCTGATGGACTCAATTGCTTTTGCCTGGGTCTGGAGACAGGAGACCAGTGTGGAAGGTGGGCAGTAGCCAGACCCTCCTCTGCCTTTTCCTGGGGTGAGAGGGCTTGTGGGGGAGGGGGCAGGGCAGGGCAGGTCAGGGGACCAAGAAGCATCTCCTCTAAAGCTGTTGTGTGCAGGTAGCAAGTCTTGTCTTCTCCGAAAGGAAGGGTCCCTGCGTGCACACACCTGGGTGTGTTTGTGTGGAAGGTCCACCCCACCCACCGTCCCCCTCCAAAGGCAGGCAGATAAATGTGCCCACACTGAAGCATTCTTGGTTTGGCTCTTTGCTTCAAGTGTTTTAAAAGAGCTTTTCTCCTCTCCTTTTGATTTTCTTTCTTTGTGAAAACAAACAAACAAACAAACCTTGAATTCTCTTAATACTGTAGCTTTCCCCTTTCCCTTTTAATCAACAGAAACCTGGTATTTTTACTTTTTAAAAGAAATATATAGTTCAGTTGTGCCACAATGCACGTGTATTTCAGCACTGGTGTTTACAAAAAGATGTACTGAGTGGATTTCAGAATTCCTGGATTTACGTAGACACACACTCTTTTTCCTGTCGTAAGCCTGAGCAATTCTTTAACGTTGACTTTTTTTTCCTTGAAAAAAAAAAGCAATTTTCCCTTTGTTTCTCCTTGTATGAAGTCAGCTTCCCCCTAGCCAATATTTTGCAGTTGGTTCTGCTAAGTCAAAGCATCTGGAAGAATTGAACTCAGTAAGGGTCTGCTTTCCCATAGCAGTAAGGGATTGTTATTTATATGTACAATGTTTTGAGGTTCCTAGTAGGAAACAGCTTGAGTTTTCAGTTCGGTCCTAAGCTAATTTTACCTGTCTGTTGAAAACGAGTGCTTAGTATCCACCCCTTCCTCAGATACAGGGTCTGGAGGTCCTGGGAGGGGGGCTCTGATCACCGGCTTTAGTTTATGTTTCTCCCCCCCCCCTAGTTTGGGCCTGATGCTTTCCTGGGAAAAAAGTTTCCTGTTTGCTTACGCAGCTCAAGAAAACCAGTTCTGCTTAACTGCATGGCTGCTGTATTCCAGATATAAGCTTCAGCTTTAGTTCTGGGGGCTTTTGGTGGGGTGGAGAGGGGGGAGAGAAACTCACGCTGTATATAATTCATCGAGGTTAGGGGGATTTCCTCCGTGGGTCCCAACAGCCCCTCTCTTCACGGTTGGCATCCCGGCTTCTGGATGCCAACGGCTTTGTGCCAGGTGAGCAAAAGCTCTCCTCGGGGTGCCCCTTGTTTTGGACCCTCTTTCTCTTGGCAGTTTTGTGGCTCTGTGGGGCATGGTGGGTTCTTGTGACTTGGACCAGGTTAGTCCCAGGGGGCTGTGGGGCAACCGGGAGATCCAAAGGGCTCCCGGTTCTTAAAATCGCCGCCAAAGATAACTGGAACTTTTGAGCCATTGGCAGGAGTAGAACGGAAAGAGCTGATAGCCAGTAAAAAAAAAAAAAGACAAAATACTTGGTAAAGTATTTTTCTTCTTCTTCTTCTTCTTCTTCTTCTTCTTCTTCTTCTTCTTCTTCTTCTTCTTCTTCTTCTTCTTCTTCTTCTTCTTCTTCTTCTTCTTCTTCTTCTTCTTCTTCTTCTTCTTCTTCTTCTTCTTCTTCTTCTTCTCCTTCTCCTTCTCCTTCTCCTCCTCCTCCTCCTCCTCCTCCTCCTCCTCCTTCTTCTTCTTCTTCTTCTTCCTTTTTGTTGCTTTCTTTTGGCCCCTGATTCTGTGCTTTCCCTTTAAACCATTCACAGTTAACGAACAGGCAGCAAATGTACGTCCGTCTGTGTGCAGAGTAGCAAGACAAACCAAGTTTCTTTGGAAGGAGGACCCTTCCTGGTCTGGCTTGTTTTGACTTTGCTTCGCTGTTCCCTTTGTATTTCACTCGAGGTGTGGCTGGGAAAGGTGTGTGTGTGTGTGGGGCGGGGGAAGCTGGAGGGGCAGAGAACCGCCGGGCGTCTCCGAGGGGCAGGGGGTTGGGCCCAGCAGCAGCCTTTGAGCCCATCAGAGACAGGAGGTTTTATGATGGTGGGGGGGAGTCCCCTTCCACCAAAACAGGTCACTTTGGAGATCACATTTGGGGGGGGGGGCTTGGACATCAGCAGAGCAGAGAGATGTGCCT